TTAATTTTTATTTCTCTGTGTGTGTGTGTATTACCTGTCGGACGAGAAAAGTGTGCAAGGTGCTGCATCAAATAATACAGAAAATAATATAGAAATAATTCCTGCCCTGCCAATAGACTCCATGGAGATGTACAATGGAACAGTAGGACTGGATCAGCCCTGAGGTCAACTTGTTGTGAGCTACAGCTCCTTGGAGGAGGATCTGTGAGCAGTTACAAAGACCTTCTCTCAATCAGAGTGACAGAAGGCGCAAAAAACCCCAGTTTCACTGAAGTTTGAACAAGCTGGAGGCTTTTCTATGCTCTGGCAGGGAACTGGAATGAACATTTTCAGAGCAACTGAGAGGTGGTAGAAAAGGTGAAGAGCAGCCATGAAGATTTTGGAAACTGGTTGAGGAAAAGGCCGTGGAGGTGCTGAAAATAAAGAAAAGAAACTTCTGCTTGATAGGAGAGAGAATAAGGAGTCAGGAGGGAAGGCTCAGAGAGAGGGGAGAACAGACAGAATCGGGTTATATTTATCAAGGTGGTAACCATAACAATATGTTGAAAGTCTGGCAGTGCTTCCCCTAAGAACACTTGAAACACTGAAAATGAAGACAAGAAAATTACCAGATAATTTCATGCAGGAACAGATCCTTCACAGTTCTCTTAAGCAAGGAAGATGGGATAAGCTTGGCGAAATCCCTTGCCTTTTTTAAACTTCCAGAGGAGCAAAGCGAAGCAGCAAAGGGAGGGTTGGGACCCAAGTTTCAGATCTCGGTGAGTCCCAGGGAAAGGCAGATGGACGCACAGAAAACATGCAAACCAGCAAAGAGAAATTCTTCCAAAAGCGCTCTGTCACCAAAGGGTTTTCAGCTGCCAGTGTGGTACCTGAGCTGGAACAAAGGAAGCAGTGATTTGGGTGTCCAGGGCAAGACTCTGGTATTTCTCGGTACAAGTCCTCTCAGAGATTTCTGATGGCTCTTGTTTCTTGGATGAAGTTATTCTGATGTCTCTTGTGGTGTCTATCCTGACACTTCCCTGCAGACACTGCCCCTTGGATAACCATTGATGTGACAGAAATGATGAGCGTGCCTGACACAAAGAATGGGCGAATTCCAATCCTGGGAACATCTGGAGAGGGTCTTGCAAGGGACAAAGGGGTTTTCTTTTCTATGACAGTGCTGGTTGTGCCAAATGGAAAGTTGGGAGTCGCCCAGTGTGGGCCCTCAGTCCCGTCCCTGGCAGGGCTAGTGCTCCTCACACCTGCCCTGGGCTCTAGCTTTTTCCTCTGTGCCCTGTGCCTTGGGCATCTGCTCCCAATCCCTCATTTTAATCCATTGGTTTGGGATTGCACTGGAGAGGTTCATCCCACTGCAGCACAGGGATGTCTCGGGTTGTAAACCATGAAACTGGGCCTTGCAGAGCAAGGGAAGACCCTGGAGAGTGGGCTGCAGACTCCCTCCCTCCAGATTTTTATCCTGATTTCCCACTAAACAACATGTGAGCAAACCCTGGGAAGCTGAATGTTGTTTGTTGCTCCAGTTTCCCATCACAGCTCCACCCCAAAGGCTGGGATAAACAGGACACAGCCCCTGTGATACAACAGGGATCTCATCTTCTTCTGGTGCCATGCTCTCCATTTCCCTCAGAGTTACCATCTGGGATGGATTTGGACCCAGATGTCCCCTAAAATGTCCTGACAACACTTACGTGAACACAAAGCAATGAGGGAAGGGAAAATTTGGAAAGAGAAAGTTTGGGAAAGGAAGGGGAGGGGAAGGGAGCTGGGGAGGGAGCTGGGAAGTGCACTGAACCACAGGCATGAACAGTAAAACTGCCCCCTTGGAATTTAGGCAAGGGGAAATATTTGAGGAAGATAAACAGTTCACCAACTTGTGCCCTCCCAGGACCCAAATCTTTTGAGAACTTTAGAAAAGTTCAGTTCACTTTGTATTTTTACTGTATTTTTATTTCTGCTCCATGGCCATTAAAACGAGAGCCTCCCTGATTGATTTTGAGTAGAAAGTGGTCACATTTCATTATATTCCTACGACTAGGGAACAACAGAAAATGTTGGAAAAGCAAGGTGTCCTTCTTGCCCCCTTCATTACCAAGGGGTTCAGAGCATTTGAAGAGGCTCTGGTATTTCTGGATACTTGATCAAAGCCAAACCTCAACCTCTGAACCTCTTTCAGCTTGACCATTATTTTCTCATAAGTGTTTTAATTTTCATCTAATGCCAAGAAAAGTCTTCTATTCTTCCCAGCTGGCCTCAGAGATAAGGGACTAAATCCCCAGACATTAAGACATAGAACAGCTCTGTCATGTGTTACTTTAGTCTCCTGCTCAAAGTCTTTCTTCTCTTCCCACTGATCTCTGATAAAATGCAAAATAATCAGTCTGCAAAAAAAAAGGGGGCAATTTAAAGTGGGGCTTTGAAGTTTAGCCACTGTTGCCCTTCATTTTCCAGCCATCTGCGAGGTGTCTGTCCTGAAGGGTTAACTCACATCTCCAGTGGCTGATGTATTCCAGCAGGGAATACTCTTAGGCTGCATTAGGAATTGGAAACTGCACTTTCACTGAGATCTGCCTCTGATTTTACCCTCTCCGAGAAGGCTTTTCCGTACTCTGCCAACTATCTCCTCCCTCCAAATGTCAGTATTATTATGTTGTACACAGAGCAATGACTCCCAGCTTGATCTCTGCTGTGCCTACATCAGAGGTACTGCAAGAAATGCATTTCCCTCCCAAACATCCATGTATTCCAGGGGCAAGAGATGGTATCCAGCTCTGCAAATCTTACCATCTTAGACATCTAAAATAGCATCTCAGTCACAGTTACAGAAGCACATCTAACTCAGTCTAGGGTCAGGAAAATACAGGAACATGCAACCTAAAATACCCACCTGAATTTGTGCACACAGACATTTCAGGGATAATGCCTGAGCTGCACAAGAAACTGTCTTTAGGCAGGATTACATAACTCTACGTGAGATTAAGAACCTAACCCCAAATGGCAATTTATTCTATTATCTAAAACAAGTGAAATATTTGTTCTCATGCCTGCTTTTTTTGTCATTTTTCAGTCTAGTTTGGTTTCCAGCATCTTTCTCAAGACACAGCCCAACACGTCATCCAGGTGACAGGAGAGGTGCCAGCAGGACTTGGAAAGAGCAGCAACAACGTGGCACAGGCCTGAAAAGAAACTCCTCCCAAAGAACCCAACTCGGACTTTCCCTGAGCAATCAAATCCTGCCCGTGTTCTCTGACACCAGAGGGTGCCAGTGACTGGGAAACCACAGCCTTGGCAGCCCCTGCGGGATTCCAGAGATCTCTGGCTCCCAGTGACAGTGGGATACACACGGAGGATAAAACTGGCTTTTACTTTTAGCTCCCTGCTTGGAAGGAGAGATATTGCCCATCGGCAAAGTTCAGCAGAGCTGGACACAAAGCCCCAGCACTAGCCCAGAGGGATTTCAGGGAAACAGCCCCATTTTCTATGTGTTCCCATGGTGTGAGATGGTGGGAAGGGATCCACTTTTCAGAAGGCACAGCTTGCCTGTAGAGCATCTCTCTGTGTTCTTAACCAACATCCACACCAAGAGGCTTGTAAGGCCTTTTTCAGGATCATGGAGTCATGGAATCATTTAAGTTGGAAAAGCCCTCTCAGACCATGGGGTCCAACCATTCTCCCAGCACTGTCAAGGCCAACTAACTCATGTCCCCAAGCAAAGGGAAAATTGAAAGGGCCAGTTTCTCACCTAAAATAAAACTTTTCAACGTGATTAATCAGCTGAACATTTGGTCTAAAATCTTTTAGTTGACAGAGAAGATAAAAATAACTCATTATTTTCCATTCACCTTTTTTCACCTGTCCCAGCAATGGAAATTTACCCCCTTTTTCTCCTGTCAGCCATCTGGAAAGACCAAAGCCAGGCAACAACACCAAGCTGGAGCTTGTTCTGTCCTGCATGATATCAACATACGTATGACATACGAATTTCCCTGGCATAACCAGCAGTGCAATTCCCAGATCAAGCCCTGGATCATATCCCCACAGAAAGAGTAGCAAGGTTGCACATTTGAAATAAAGGGCACTGTTTGGTCTGGAAACCTTCTTTAATTATCAATTAATGTAATCAGCTGAGTGTGCAGAAAGAGTCCATCTGTCCTGGGGTATGGACTTACTGGCTCTAATGAAGCTGAAACTCTGGGATGAGGTTTTGTTTCTCTGTTTACTTCACAGAGTCCCTTCTGACAGCAAAGCTCCCCTTTGGTACTGCCACAAATTCCTGAGCTCTGCTGGAATGCCAGGCAGAAATAACCTGTTCCACAGACAGTTTGGAGGGACAGGAGCTGAGAGAAATGGCAGAGACAAGCAGGATTGCAGGACTGAAGAGCCAGCCTTGATGTGCTTGAGTGAGGCATATGTTATATAGGAATTAGACTTTATTCTCAGCTGAGTGACATTTTCCCAGCTGCAGAAGTGTCACTGATGAGGAGGATTCGGTGCTTGGCAAACTCCCCAGAAGAAGATATTTGCCAGGAAAGGCTGGTGACAAGTTAGGTCAGGACTGCAGTGCCCTGTGGAGCCCTGAAACTGAACTAAGGGCTGGTGCAAGTCAGGGGTGGGTTTGCAGAACTGCGTGTGGGCACCTTGTTTCCCTGCCCCTGACACAGAGAGTTCAGAACACACCCCGAAAACCCTGAGGGCATTTCTGCCACAGACAGCTTGTGAACAAAACCTGTGCTCTGCAGCTTCTCCTTCAATTCAGGCACTTAAACTGAGCTTACAGAATCACAGACTGACGGAGTCATTTAGGGTGGAAAATCCCTCTAAAGCCATTGAGTCCAACCATTCCCCCAGCGCTGCCAAGGCCACCACTAACCCGTGTCCCCAAGTGCCACATGCACGTGGCTGTTAAATCCCTCCAGGGATGGGGACTCCACCTCTGCCCTGGGCAGCTGTGCCAGGGCTGGACAGCCCTTCCCAGGAAGGAATTTTCCCAATATCCAACCTAAACCTCTCTTGGCACAACTTGAGGCTGTTTCCTCTTGTCCTGCACTTGTTACTTGGGAGAAGGGACTGACCCCACCTCACGACCTTTGGCAGCCTGAAATAGCTCCATCAGCCTCTGGAATTGTGGCTCCCCAGGAGCTGATCCTTGTGCACATTCCTCCTTGGGTACAGCAGAGGAAAGACGGTTCAAGAAAAGAAAATCATAACAAACCCCAAGTCATTTCAAACTGAAGAACAGCCCTTCCCATGGATGCTCCCCGTGCTCTGTCAGTGATTCCCAGTGTGATGGATGGGGTTTGATACACACAGTGACTGAGAGAAATCCCTGCCTGTCAGAACATCCACAGCCAACACCACAGCTCTGTTTACTGCCTTCCAAACTGCAATCTACTCTTGCTTAATTGGTAAACCCAGTATTGCTCAGGCTGCTGGTCTCTGGTGAAGCACAGCTGAAGGCATTAGAGGAGGGGTGGCAGGTCAGCCTTGCACTGCTGGTGCATATTAAACTGTCACTGCCACACACTGCTGTATTGCTGTGCTGCTTTTCTTCCTCTCTGCCTTTCAATTGCTCTGCTTTGAGCCTTGCAGCCCAAAGCAATTAATAAAATCCACAAACTTGCATGTTAGAAAATAAAGATATAACAGGAGAGTATGAAATAATTCACACTAAAGGAAATATTAGAGTTACTGAAGGGGATACTAGCTTTAGGATTCTCAGGTCCAACAGCTGATCTTGTGTCAGCCCTCTTTCCTCTTGCATCTCTCAGACTTTCTAATGTAGGTACTTATTATACTTATCTTAATTGAACCTTAATTCCTTCCCTTGAGCACGAGGTTGGACTAGGTGGCCTCCAGAGGCATCTGCCAACCTTTTTTTGATCTTTTTTTCCCCTGTGATTCTATTTTACAGCAGCATGACTGACACAGAGACTGGATGCCTCATCCACTTAGTAAATGAACATGAAACACTGAGTGTAGAAGGTCAGATGCCGCCACAAAAGAAAAGCTGAAGGTCTTGAAAATGTGATCAAGATGGAAATAACAGGATGATCTGTCTGAGCCTGAGAGAGCCTAGGAGTTGAAAACTTGGAGTTTCCACCTCTGGTGATGGCCCAGACAGGAAAATTGCCATCGGTCAGAACCTGTGGCACCAGCTTTGTGCCACAGCTTTGTGGCATTAATTAAGATTCCTCCAGGCCCACTGTGATTGTTTTGGTGCTCCCAGTGGTACCTTTACCTGTGAAAGCTGTGTCTGTGGCTGCTGACACACTGTGGGATCCCTCAGGGGATCAGGGGATCCAGGTGTCCTAAAACACAGGTGAGAAGGACACCATGAGGGTCCGTGTGTGGATGTGAGAAGATGAAGACACAGCTCTGCTAGTACCTGAACTATGGCAGAGTGGAGACACAAACATGACCATCAGGTTCAATGGGGTAAACAAAGGTAACTCTGGTTACTTTGGTTACTAGACTCCTTTATTTCCTTAAGAGGTTGTAAATAACTGACAAAGCTGCCTGGAAAAAAACCCAAAATTTGAGATGCTAATGTATTTATTTTATTATGCAGCCACTGCAGAAACCTTTCTGTGAATTAAAAATGGCCTAAGAAGGGAGAAAGGACTTCAACATTTCCCAGAGCAATGGTCTCAACAGAAGAAATGGCAATAGAAGTCTATATTACATTGACAATCTTTGTTTTCTAACACTCATGGACTCTCAGTGAAAGGAGTGACATCTGAAATATATAATTTATTTTCTTAAGATTATACTGGGCCAGCACTTATGTAGGCAAATGAAAAACTTTAGGCTTCCATTTCGAAAACAATAAGATTGAACAAGATCTCAGCTGGGCAAATATAATCATTACACAGATTTACTTATTTATTCATTCCCGGGCTGGAACGTCTCTGTCAGATTGCACTGCTGGAGAAATGGTGGGGAGGAAGATCACTGGGAATCTCCTTTGCAATCGTGGACATGAACATCCTGGACAGACTGAAACTTTTGTTCAGTGAAGTATTTTGTTTAATGTTACAAAACACAGAGTGATTGGTGATTATAATTCATTACAAATGTTCCCAGAGCATTTCTCACCTGGCTGAGTGTCTGACTGGGATGAGAAACAGCAAATTCTCCCTGCAAGGGCATTTCTTGGGACCAGGGAATTTCAAAACAGCTTCCAAGGCCATAGAGCGGTAGATTCTGTCTGGCATCCCAGATGTGCCAAGGGCTGAAGTATTTATGAGGGAGATAATGAAGTCTTTGGGAATAAAGAGTAGATGGGAGACGCACAGCTGCGGTGCAAATTGAGCAGTTCTGCTTTGTATAGGCTTGTGGAGGGGAGCTGATGAAAAAAGAAGGAACATCAGTGTCACACATTGGTTTGAACATCCAGGTAAGAGGATTTAAGGTTTAGGATTTTTTTTTTTCTTCACTCTGTACAGTTTTGTTTCCAGAATGATCATGTTTTATGATGTGTTTTCTGATCATACTCCTTTCCCCCGAGGCTCCTGAGCCCCATTCACCAAAGGCACAGTTCAGGGGGTGAACTGTGACATGCCAGGAATGACTTATCCATGAGCTGGCCAAGGGAGGCTCTTTGCTTTCCAAATGTTAAGTGAAACAAATGTTCCAGATGAGCTTTGTTACACAGGCCCTGAAATCTGAACAGAATAAAAACCCCCTTTTCATCTCTTTGGAAAGAAACCTTATTGGATTCTTCCTCAACTTTGTGTTGTTATTCAGTTAAAATCTTCTTCATCCCTGCGATGAAAGGTCTTTTTTTTTTTTCTTCTGCTTTGCTGCATCTTTTAGTTTTTCATTTAACCTTGTAAAGAATTGACTAAGCTGAGGTAGTCCAGGAGAATGAAATATGAGCTCTAGACACAGGTTTGCTCTGCTGATGAGCAACTGAATTGCTGTGGCCTTTCAGTAACTACCTTGGGTTCAGCAGGAAAGAGAAAAAAGAAAGAGGAAAGATTTCTACTGCAAACAAACTGGGAAGAAATTGCTTTGTAGTGTTGGTTCCTTCAGGGCTAATGAGGTTCTGAGCCAGCCTTAGTTTGTTGATATAAAATACATGATACCCTCTGCACCTAGAAGGTAGATGGCCTCATTAGCATGACAAAGTGTTAATTGCCCAGATTATTATAAGTGTAAAGAAGAAGAATTCTGTCTTTAAGTGTAAAGGCTAAGTTTTCTATTAAGTATCTTATTAAGATAACAACAAAACTCCTCTTAGGACTCTCTTTTGGGACTCTTTCTCCACATTTCTGTTTGCCCAGGCAGGTCTCTTACACCTTCATCCCACTGTTAACGGAGTGTGAGGACACACCTGACTCTTCCAAAGCTTTTTCCCTTGGAAGTGACCAACATTCCTGCCTGTTTAAACACAATTGGCTCAGTCAATGGAAATAGTGGGATGTCTGTGCCCAAGTTCCCTACTGGGAACTACCTGGGGGTTTGTTGTGTTTCCCTTCTGAGGTTTCCTATCAAAGACAAATGGGAGGGAAAGTGAGAAATGGCAGTTGTTAGTCAGTGTTTATTGGCTCACAATGTGAGTATAAACCAGCCCTTCTGGACTGGAAGGATTTATCCAGGGGGAACAAGGCTCTGCCTGGGGGTGGGTGATGCCACAGTCTTTCCAAAGTGAGGTCTCACTGTGAGTTGAGGGTGATGGTGCCAGGTCAGCAGTGGGTGAGTGAATGTGGCAGGACAGACCTACACCTGATAAACACTCTCTGTTCCACAATTCCCTGTGTCACTGCCAGCGGAAGCCAGCTGGGTTCTTCCCCTTCCATTGTTTTTTGTCCAAGGGCATGAAAGAGGCCTGTGCTTCTTCACACTGTGGACTTTTTGTCACCACTTCTTGGTAGCTGAGAGTGCAAAGAGCTGCTGGACAAAGTGCCCTCTGTCAAGTTTGCTTTTAGAGGCTCCTTGGAGTACTTTATCAGAGAAGCACATATTCTTTCTCCAGTTCGCTGTAGAAATATTCCTGCTTCATCTGCCCACGTTCCTGCTGTAACAGATGTTCCAGCGGGTGCTGGGAAGGGCTTTGGCATTGCACAGCATCAGCTCAGCAGGAAGAGATGAATGGGATCCACCATTCCCCATGGCATTTCCATTGCTCTCCAGCTAAAACAACCTTGTGACACCTCAGTTAAAGAGGTGGCTTTGAAAAGACTGTTCCCTGCAGCAGCCCCACATGAAGATCCTGTGGGTGCAGGGTGCTTGGGAATAAAACCAGCCCATCTATCCACATGGGGCTGGGATATTGGAACAAGATCACATGAACCAGTGTGGTGGTAACTGGGATGGATGGATGGATGGATGGATGGATGGATGGATGGATGGATGGATGGTTGGATGAACATGGATAGGTCTTCCGGTGCTGGATGACTGTACAGAGCTGGTTCTGGTGTTTGCACATTCTCAGGCAGATCTGGGTAAAAAACAGCAGGGAATGGAGAGAGTAGTAGAGCCATTGGAATGCCAAAGCCTGGGGAAAACACTATTGGTAAGATTGTTATTTCCCTCTCTGCCCCTTCACTCTTCTCCAATATTTTTTCCAGCTTATTTCGTAAAGCCATTTTGACCCTGTCAGCAGTGGACAGAGATGGGATGGAAGTTCTGGGATGATGATATTCCTTGGAAATGAAACCTAACAAAGCACACTGCAACTCAGAACCACTGCACGCTGGAACAGGCAAATGTGGCTTGTGGGCAACTGCCTTTGGGAAGTCAGGGAGCCCCTCTGGAAGCAGGTAGGAGTGGGCTGTCCTTAGCATAAACATCCACATTCAGTCTGCCTTCCTTTGAAATTTGCTATTGTCCCTATAGATAAACCCACCAAGGATTTCACCAGACTATATTGGATTTGAGTGTGGAAGTACCAAGTCATCCTGCTGCCATTTGCTGTCACTCAGAGTTTAAGATCTCCCCACATTGCTGGTGACAAACAACCTGCAGTTGTCCCTCTGTGCTCCCTGGGCTGCTCCCCCTCACAGTGGGATGACTCAGCCCAGCCATGTTGTCAAGATGAGCACAATTTCACAATGAAATAATCAGTCACTTTTTTAAAAAAGGGCAAATTTACTCAGCCACTTGGAAGAAAAAAGCAAAGTGCAGCCTAAAATTCCTTTTATTTACAGTGGGAAATGAAGCATGAGTAAGATGATTATAACTATAATTAAACAAGAGAGTCAAACCCACAGATTAGCACAACATAGAGAAGGAGGCTTTGGGAGAGACAGCATAGAGGGATCCTAAAGGATTTTTTTCCCTGCAAGCCCTAGGGACATCCCTCATTAATTTGCTGCCTAACAAGAAGCTCTCTCCAGAAGCCCCTCTGTTTACCTATGAATGAAAGCTGGGCCTCAGGAAAAGGTCGAGCTGATTTTCCCACTAAAATACTGTGCACACACAGTGCAGGCAGAGATCCTGAAGTCTGAACTTCAGTACAAATGGGAAAAAACAATTTTCTGAGTATGTCAGGGGAAAAGCCCAGAGGAGATTCTCTCTGCAGCCAAGGAAAGCTGGAGTCTGGCTCCAGTCCTGAATTATATCCCTCTCTGTCACTTGCCAAACACCATCTCAGCTCTCCAGATACTGTGACATCCAAATACCATTCTGCATTTCAGTACCATCCCTGCTCTCCTTCCTGTATTATACAGTTCTTGGCATTTTTTCAATAGCTTCCCTAACCCCACATCCGAATTCCCTCAGATAGGTTTCAATAGCTTGCTGAGAGGCAGATAATCCACCCTTTGTCATGATGGATTGAGGCCTGTCTCAAAAAAAGAACAACTCCATTGCACCAGAGAAAAGCAGTTAGGAATAAATTTGCCACTGCTAACAAGGCTTGACTGGGTCAGAGCTTTGTGTGCTGCAACAAAGAGTTTAAGACCCTGGAACATGTTCGGATTGCAGAGAAAATTCTATTCAGGCTCTGGAATGCACTGGATCACTGATGGATTGCAGATCACGTCTTACACCAGAGGAATATTGGATCCTTACAGAGCACCTGCCCTGCTCTGGAGCTAATTCCATGTGATCTCTTATCTTTTTGAGGTGTCAGAGTCAGGCAGAAGACAATGCCAGGGGGAAGACAATCATTCCCAGCTCTCAGTCATCAACTCACTCATCCATGCAGAGCTTTAATCCAACTGGGAGCCCAAGGTGCAATGACAGCTGGTAAAAAAAAGTTCCAGGAAACAACTTTCCCACTTGCCAGCAGGGTGAGGGAGAACAGCTCTGTGTCCTTAGGGACAGGCTCTGGGAGGTTTGAAGGCTTTGTTCTCCCCCAGCAGTGACAGACACACACTGCAAAACCTGATCTACAGAGGTTTGTTGGAGACTGGAAACACATTTGCTTTGGCCTTGCTCAGCCTTCCCTCACAGTCTCATTCCATGAATGTTCATGCCAGGGACTTCTCAGCAACTCATCTCTTTGTGAAAGTCAGATTTATGTCTGTTTTCTCAAGTTTAGGCAGCAAGTAAAATTTATATGAGCATGGCTTGTGATGTTCAGGGAGACTGTTTTAATTCTAGGGGTACAAACCAGGCTACTTAATTATAAGATTTTTAAAAACAAGAAGTGCAGCTTGAATTGCAAGGCAATAAACACAAAGAATCTTGTAGAATAATTTTGAACATGAGAATCATCACAACCTGCTCCTGGCTATTCACTGGAAAAGAGAAGAAACTTCCCTGTCTGAGCTCTTTGTTCATGCATTCGGTTCACTTCCAAGAGCAACAATGAAACTGTGTGTTCTTCAGTCCCCTTCCTAAACTCTGCTGGAAGTGGACACAAGTGTCAGGTGATTTCACCAGACTTGTTATGATGACATTTTATTTTCTTTCCACTAAAAACATCCAGCCACAGCAACTGCAAAGGAAAAAAAAAAAACCACACTCTCCCAAACCTTTCCTTCCCTCACAGTGATTTTCTATTTCTGTGAGTGATGCTTTAAATAATAAACCCCTCCTGACTCTGAACAGGTTGGGGGGGGGGGGCTGTCCCACAGCCCCAGCACAGCATGAGCAGCAGGTTATTAATCTACAGCAAAGCAACACAACCAGGGAATCTAAAAATATCCAGGACACCTGGTTGCTCCATCTGATTGTATTGAATTTAGAGGACGAGAGGGATGGTCCCTGCATGCAAACTGTTGGTGTCTGGTGCAATCACAACCTCTTGGTGTTGTAAAACCTTTGGAAGGGAGATCAGGATCAGGAGTTTGGAATTACTGCAGCAGGATCAGCTCGGGGGCAGCTCAGTGCTGTGACTCCTTCAGTGGTACAAGAGATGAACTAACTGTGTTTTGTCCATCAGATCTCTGGATGTCCCAGGACGTGGAAGACTCAACTGCAGTACAACCGGAGCAATGAGGCTTTAGGAACCATCTGACCCGCACTGGTAGCACTGAGGGGACCATCACTGTCAGCAGAAAAAGGGGTAAGAAAGGGTACAAATTTTTTTCTATGAGCTACTTTCAAAACCTTCAGGGAAACTCATCAGTTGAATCATTTTGGGTCTATTAGCAGAGGCTGCAAATAGAATCCCAGAGTCCCAGACTGGTTTGGGTTGGGAGGGACCTTAAAGATCATCCAGTTTCAGCCTGCCATGGGCAGGGACACCTTCCACTAGCCCAGGTTACATAGTGATGCTGCAGCTCCTCACATAAAGACTCTGATACCACCTCATGATATCAAAACTCACTTAAAAATTTCCACTGAAGGGCCCTTGAGAATTAGGACAATTCCAAGGGTTAAGGTTTGCAGGAGCCCATGCCCAGCTCTGCTTTCATTTTTCTCAGCAGCCTCATATTCCCCGAATGAAGCTACTTGTAAATTTTTCTTCTCTGAGAAGATACTTCAGACTCTATTTGTGACAGTCAAAATTCTAATATATGGGCAAAATGTGTTCTTCCTGAGGCTCTTTCTTGACACAGCTATTTCTTGAGTACCACTAAAGTGAGAAAAACAAACTCTGAAGGCCAAATTCCTGCCTGGTGTTTCAGCTGGCCTTGGCATCAGCACACTGATGGACTTGGTCATGACATTCCTTGTGCTGTCCGCTCCCAAAATGACAGGATCTGGGCTCTGGGCGGGTCTGTGTGCACTGAATTGTATCTAAACTTATTATCTCAGTGCATTTTTGGCACCATTCTCTTGATAAGACTTGTAAACAAGACTCCTTTTCCAACAGCCCCTTTGGTACTTGTATTTCAGGAGCTTGCAGTGTGGGTGTCTGGTAATGCCCCTCCCATCCTTCTCGCAGTAAACGTACACAATAAATTGTTCTTTTCTCAAATATATTCCCAAAAATGTAATTTTCATCCGCATCACACAAGATTTGACTGTTTTGTTGATAGAGATTTATTATGTTAGATTTTATCTGCCTGTTAAACACTTCCTAAAGGGTGAGTGACTAATAAAAATGACATTACAGAAATTGCTCTTCAAACTGCTCTGCAGATTGAAAAAAAATTCAGAAAGCCCCTCTTCTCTCCATACAAAACCTGTCCAGCCTGAGGGTGGGCACTGGGTGAATGGCAGAATCAATGTCAGTGTAAGGAACTCAGAGCAAGATCAAAAGAGTTACAGATTCCTGTAGTATAGGAGAAATTCTATAATAAATGTGACTTAAAATGACAGCAAAAATGTGTAGTCTGAAGGTGCTGTGAGCTGTACTCACAAGTTCAGTCAAGCCTGGGACATGGCCTTGGTGGCCTGGTACAAGTCCTGCTCTGTGACAGTTCTGTCATCCATCCAACAAAATCAGCCCCATTCATCACTGACCTGGGTGGTTATAAGGTCCTTTTTTATGAGTTCACCTTCCTCCTCAAATACACTCAAAATGTATTGGCTGAGCTCAACTTTGTGGCCTCATTCTCCATTTGTTTTCTTCTGACACCTCCCTTTGCCTCAACTCCTCAGGCTCAGTAAATGCAGATTGCAGAGAGATGTGGACAATACATCTGTTATTTGGGCAAAGCTCCCTGGAAGAAGTCAGTTCTCTTCATTCCTTGGGATTGCTGCTCAAACTGATCCCTGTGGCATAATGATTAGTTTGGGAATAAGCTGTGAGGGTGATAGTGCCTGGCTGGGCAATGAAGCTGTTACTCCAGCTCTTTTCATCTCCACGGGCTTATTTCTTCCCTCATTTTTTTATTTTTGCCTTCTGTGTGTGCCATTTCCTTTGGGAAGAGGAGGAAGAAGAGTTGATATTATACACCTACATCGTGGAGTATTGTGGAGTCCCTTCAACGATACCCACTCTGTTTATTAGTAACCTTCTAAAGTATCCTCATCCTTCTGCAAACCCCAGGAGAGGCTAATGGGGGGAAAACCGACTTTGGATTATGTGGAGCACAAATGCAAAGCTGTAATTAATAAATTCTGCCCTCACTAATTGCAGAGGAGGAGTCTGTGCTGCTCCACACCCAGGATTTACACTCCATGTGTCTCCTCTTCCCTGGAAGTACAAACTGTGTGGGTTTGTACAAGTATGGAATGTTTGTACGAGGGGTAGGAATTTCAGATTTGGTTAATTCTGAGGGTACAGATGAAAGGATGAAGCCAGATCTGTGCAGTGTTCCCTGGCTGGGGTCCATTTGATCCTACACAGCTTGAGATTCCCACCAGGGAAGGAATGGCAGGGTATCCCCTTTTCCCTTCTCTTGTTATCTCTAATCATGGCTAGGCTTCGCGAACGAAGATTTGTTATCTCTAATAAACAGTGTTTTAATCAACACCTTATGGAGTTCAAGTCTTTTCTTGCTGGGATCCATAAAAACACTTGACTGGCTCATCACACCAATATCCCCAATTGGAAAAACACCCATGGAAGGTGTCCCTGCCGGTGGCAGGGGTTGGAACTATATGTGCTTTAAGGTCCCTTTTCAATCCAAACCAGTCTGTGATTCTGATCATGTAATAATTAAAACCTGTAAATTCTCAGACTCCACACAAGATCACCCTGCTGAAGGGAATTTCTCAGGAAATTGGGACTTAGGTTGGAAAGAACACCTGGGGAAGCAGCTGCCCCCCGCTGTGTGGGACACCAACACTCATTGCAAGCACGTGAATTAAAGCAGTTCTTCGGGATCAAGGCTAGGTATCCGTGAGAGGCAGCGCCGTGCTCTGAAATTAAAATACAGGGAAAACCTGATAAACAGGTATTATTAGCTCTGCTGAGTGTGCCAAGCATTAATGTGAAATGCACCTCTGATCCCTTACACCAGTGGGGAGGGCTATTAGCCCATTGAGGGCAACACTGTTGGCCGTACATTTTGAGAGGGAAAAGGGGCTTTTCCCTCAAATATTCCTCGGGAGGAGCATCCCGGGGATTCCAGGAGGGGAACCCTGGGCCATGCCCGGCGGGCTGCGCCCTCAGCGATGCCCTCACCCAATATGGCGGCGGCGGCGCCGCGCGGCTCTCGCGAGCCCTGGGCGGGGCGGGGCGGGCGGTCCCTCATGGCGGCGGCGCGGCCCGTCAGGCTGGCGGGGTCAGGCGGCCATGGAGCACATCAGCACCCCAAAGGTAACCCTCACCGAGCTTTATTCCATTTAACGGCGGGATTTATTTGGCTGCACGCGCCGTGTTTGATCCCCGTCGGGCAACACCCCCTGCTTGCCCTCAGGGCTGAGCGCGGCGGGTTTAAAGCCGCGGTGTGAAGGTGCTGGTGGCTCCGCCGCCGTGTTGGGAAGCGGGTTTGCAGGGGGTGACACAAGGTGTTTTGGCGGCAATCCCTGAAAATTTCCTTTATATCCACCCCCCCTCAGTCCCAAAGAGTGAATCAAATGTACTTTTTTTCCCCGTCAAATTCAGTGAAACAGGAGCTCCGGTAGTGCTGTGTTCAGGCGGCTAAAAATAAATTGCATTTACTTCAGGCAGCGGTTGGTAATTTAATTTTACCTTTTGCTGCCATGGAGGTTGTTATATTGTTATATTTTGGTTTATTCTCTAGGATATTGGTTTGGGGATGCTCTTTCCCCTGTTCCCTGCGTTGCTTTGCTGGTCCTGCTTGTGTCTAGTGCCCTGAAAAAGGGAAATATTATATATAATAGTTATATTTGCTGAAAAATATGACATGCTAGGAAATCATTCAGCCTCTACCTCTGTTCTGCAAGTTTCTTTGCTGACATTTTCCATGGCTTATCTCAGACAATGAAAAAGAAAAACTCACACATTCAATACCCAAAACTAATCTATCATATACTGTTAAAAAGCTTGTTTTTATTATCCATCCAATTATTTTTCCCCATTATTTGTGCTTAATGGTGAAAGAAAATTTCCATCTACCTTCATGAAGAGGCAAATAGGCCAGGAGGAAATCGATGAAATACTGTCAACTATTTTATTATGTCTGTGCTGATACTTTTTAAAGCTGCTTTTTATTAATTAGCTTGATGTGCTTTATGAAATGCACTTACAGGCCAGGAAGTGAGGTACAAGAAGTAGCTCCTAATGGTTTTTTACAGGCACTGAGCAGCTGGAAGTCAGACTGGAGAGGGCTGTTCCTTTCAGAGCAACACTTTGATTACTCTGAACACAGACAAGTCTTTCTTTGCAGTTCTTTGTCTTGTTATTTGTCAACCTTGTCCAGTAACAAACTGGAATCATCTTGGCTACGCATCCGGTCGTCCTGTTATTCACACTGGTGCTGAACCTTGGCTGTTTGCTTAACCTTTTTGGCTTTAATTCATGGAGAAATAATAGCATAAAGCTGAGCTGGTGTTGTAGGGCAGACTTAAATTCATGTATTTTCCTGTATTGCTTCATGAGTTGCTTATTAGAAGTTGAATGACTGGAGTTCAACAGGTGTTTAGATAATTCCTCCATCAAAGTTGGACATCAGGAGGAATTTTTCCACGGCAAGGGCTGTCAGGCATTGGAACTGCCCAGGGTGTGGTGGAGTCCCCACCCCTGGAGGTGTCCAAGGAGGGACTGGACATAGCACTCAGTGCTCTGGACTGGGTGATGAGGTGGGGATCGGGCACAGCTTGGACTCGATGGTCTTGGAGGACTTTCCCAACCTCAGTGATTCTGGGATTCTGTAGTTTTTGCATCCTCTTTCTATGTTGCAGGTCGAGAACGTGAAATTGCTGGATCGCTACGCGAACAGGAAGGTGGCCAATGGGACATTGTACCTGACAGCCACACACCTGATCTACGTGGAGGCTTCTGCTGAAGTCAGGAAGGAAACATGGGTATGTTGTGGTGCCTGGGGTTGTGTAAACACACCTATAAAAGTTATTTTATGTCACATGCTGATTTGGTTTGGGAGGGACTTGAAGGATCATCCAGTCCTGCCCCCTTACCATGGGCAGAGACACACCTCCCACTAGCCCAGGTTGCTCCAACCTGGCCTTGGACACTTCCAGGGATGGGGCAGCCACAGCTTCTCTGAGCAACATGTGCCAGGCCCTCCCCACCCTCCCAGCCAAGAATTTCTTCCCAATATCCCATCTAACCCTGCCCTCTGGCAGTGGGAAGCCATTCCCCCTTGTCCTGTCACTACATGCTCTCATATCCAAAATAAACAAGTTTGGAAGTTCCACAGCTCCAATGACCTTTTATAGCATTTTAATACCAAATGCTCAACAGAAACAGCTGGTTTGGAAGGAAATGAGCACAATGGTGACATGACTTGATAGAGTTCACTCATGGAATTAGTGTCAGTTCAAGGAATATAAAAAACTTGTGTAATTTCCTCTCTCAAACTCAATATACCAAGCCACCAAACTTGAATTTACAGCTTTTGTAAGTGCAGAATTAGCACTGAAATGAGCCTATTTTATTGATTCTAAAGCAAAGTGAGAATGACAGAATATATTGCATATGAGAGTGGGAAAGCAAAGTGCACCAGGTAAACCAAGCTGCACATCAATCTCTGAAAGTAATTTCTGTGCATCTGTGTTTTTTCAGTCCTGCTTTAGTTACCTGGCCTTTAGGTGCAGTCTGGGTGTTTATGTTTGATAAATAATCACAAATAATCTCATTTTCTGCTGCTACTTAGCTGCAGGAAGCATAAGTAGCTGATTGTGTTGCAGAAACTTCATTTCTGCTTGTGCTGCTCGCAGCCTTATCTGAAAAATGTTGTTTATTCCCTGTTTTTCAGATCCTGCATCACCACATTGCAAGTGTGGAGAAGCTGCCCCTGACCACAGCTGGGTACCCCCTGCTTATCCACTGCAAGAACTTCCACGTGGCTCACTTTGTCCTGGGGCAGGAGCGGGACTGCCACGATGTGTTCACCTCCCTGCTCAAGCTCTCACAGCCAGGTATTGGGAGTGGGAGTCTCTTCTGGGAATTCTTGGAGCTCTCTAAGCTGGAAGGCTGGGCTGAGCCCTGGGGAAGCTCTGTCTGCGCCAGCTTGGGTTTGGGCTCTCAGTGCAGGATGTGGAGTCGGAATCAGCTTCTCCCGCCAGAGACAAAGGATGGGCTCAGGAAGTAGAGAGCAGGACATTTGCTTAATTAAACACAGTCTTTGAAGCCTACAAGAAAGATGGAGATAGACTACTTACAAGGATCCGGAGTGACAGGACAAGGGAGAATGAAAGAGAGCAGTTTAGGTGGGATACTGGGAAGAAATTCTTCCCTGTGAGGGTGGGAAGGCCCTGGCACAGGTTGCCCAGAGAAGCTGTGGCTGCCCCATCTGTGGAAGTGTCCAAGGCCAGGTTGGACGGGGCTTGGAGCAACCTGGGCTAGTGGGAGGTGTCCCTGCCCACGGCAGGGGGTGGAAAGGGATGATCTTTAAGGTCCCTTCCAATCCAGGCCGTTCCGTGATCCTGTGGCAGTGGGAATGAGCTGGTGTTCCGCAAGGAACTTCTGGAGGCCTGTGAAAGGTTCATTTGCCTGACTGAGTCTGTCCCAGGCTTTTTTCTCATGTCACTCACACCGAGTGTCACATCCCATCCCTGGCCACTGTCAGTCATTCATGTGACCTGGCTGTTTTCTGTGTGCAGTTCTGCCCTCTCCAGCTGACCCAGAATTCGGGAATCCCACAAGTAAAGCCTTAAACATTGGCATCTTCGATTTGTTTCCAGCAGCATGTTTAAGCTGCTCTGCACTGTTTGCTCAGCTGTGACACCCTGTGTTTCACCCAGGCTGCCCTGACTTGGAGTCACTCTGAAAGAGGGTGAGCAAAACATCCTCAAAAGCCTGTGGTCTCTTCTGGCTCCAGCTTTTTATTCCATCATGGTTGAATCCTCAGGCTTCTTGTTCTTCTTGCAGCACAGCATTCCACTGAGTTCCTATCTGCCTTCTGCCTCTGTTTTTGGGGTGCTACTTCAGTGAACCTGAGTTGTGTTATTATTACAAGGATGTAATTTGTAATTGCAATTTGTAAGTTGTGTCATTAGTCTGAGGGAGGGGAATTGATGGCACCAGGCAGCTTCTTGCTGCCCTTCACAGGACTGGGCTGGAAATCCTGTAGGAGAAATGGGTTTCGCCGAGTTTTTTTTTTTAATTGATATTAAGGCTTGTGTCTATTCCCAGCATCCCCCTTGTGCTCTTTGGACTTTTCTTAGTTCTGCAGTTCTAACTCTTATGCTGTGTCTGGCAGGTTTCTGGTGTTACATTTAAAAGCTGTCCCTATTCTTTGAGTTTTGCAAATTACAGACTTAGGTAGTGCCTTGAAGCTTGGGAGGTGTCACTGCAGGGGAGCACACCAGTTTCTTGTAGTTGTTTGTCTAAATGCTGTAGCTCTTTCTTTTCTTCTACTTAAGGATTTTAAGAGTGCTCTGTTTTTGGTTTAAAAAATGTCTGTGTGTGTGTTCCCTTCATGGTTTTTTGGCAGAGTGATGGACAGCTGGGGGTTACCTGCTTTATCAGCCCCTGACAGGTTTCCCTCTGTCTCTGGAGCACTTGCTGCCTTGGGAGTTAGCTGAATGAGTTATTGGCTGGATTTGCATTTTATGGAGAGAGGGAAGGAGGTTGGGATGGTAAATGGCCATTTGTCAGACCCAGCCCGAAGCCTTTGTTGGGCTGAAAGTAACATTTCAGACATCTCTCAGGGTTAGAACTTGCTGTTGAAGGATGAACTTTCAGGTGTGGAAGAGCTGTTGTATGAACTCTCCACAGAAAATAGATCTTTTAATATGTGTTGTCATTTATGGGTTAATGCTTATGACATAAATCCCATCTAACGTGCCTGCTGTAGTGAATTTAGGAGGAAATCATTTGTTCAGGGAAAATTACCGCTTCAGACTTAGAATTAATTCTAACAAAATGTTTTAAGCCTATTTCCTTGCATGTGGGAACTGAGTATTGGAAATTCCTGAGGATTTCAGGAGGAATTGTCAGCACTTGGTACTACCCTGACCAAAATCCTATAAATATGGGGTTGAGAAGTTTTAAATATCTCAAATACTCTTCTCTGCAGCACTGAATGATTGATTTCCAGAAGTTCAGGCCTCTCTGTATGTCTTTGCATCTCTTTAGTTATTAAATAGTTAATTTTTTTTCTTTCTTCTTCCCAGTGAAACCTGAAGAACTTTATGCTTTCTCTTACAATCCTAAAATGTCTAAAGAGAACCGGGAAATTGGGTGGAAACTAATTGATTTAAAACTGGATTACCAGCGCATGGGAATTCCAAACGACTACTGGGAAATAACGGATGTTAACAAGGACTACGAGGTAATTCCTGCCCCAAGTAGCCATTTAATGCAGTATCTCCTTGTTGTTATTAATGACACAGAGCAGCCCTGCTGCTGCCTCTGGGGAGGAATGAGCTCTCTTGCTTTTAAGCAGCATCATCTTGATGGGAAGTTGCAGATAATGATACTACAGAAGAGCTGCAGAGTCACCTTGGTTTGCTTTGATCCCCCTGGCAAGGGACCAGAGAATTGTTCTGCTAGAGAAATGGCAAACCATCTGTTAGGAAAAGCCTGAAGTACCCTTAGCTGCTTTTGGTATTTCCGAAGCCTGTCCCACCTGACTAGGGACAGATGTGTAGGAGAGAAATAAATGGCAGCAGTTTGGATTGGTAGGGGGTGAGGCAGAGTGGAGAGGGACTAGGGAAGGAAGGAGAAAAACAGACCTTCTTTTGCTTGCTTGGTTGGATCTTCTGCTTTGTAAGGCCTCTCTGTCATTTCAGTCCAAACTGGCTGCTGCTGTTATTTTCTTTGAAAGGCCATCTTGGATCTAAACAACAATAAACAACAGCATTTGTCAGCAAGCTTGTTCAAAATCCTGTTACACATTATTTCCCTTTTTATTTCTTCTAATGTGGAACAGTCAGACCTGGCTGTCAAAAGGCCAAAACAGGCAACTCTGAGGAAGAATCCAACATATTCCGTCCTGAATCCCTTCCCCTGCTCCCCACTCTCTTCCCTGGGCCGCTTTCTTTGCTGTTACACTTTGGGTTGAAGAAATACAAGCCTGTGCTGTCAGAAGTGACAGCTCATTTTACCTGGCTATGTGTTTGGATGCCTGAATTGAGATGTGATGGCAGAGATGCTGTTTCCAGTAGCTGATTAAGGCACCTGAATGTGAGCAGCTCAAATCATTAATCACTCTGAGGCTATACTTGCTCAAGTGTAACTCTCAAGTGCCAGTGCTTTAGAATTTCCTCAGGGTTTCCAGCCTGTGTGTTAAAATTGTCAAGCCTAATGTAAAGCCAGGCTTGGGGAGGAGCTCATCTGTGAAGTCTATGCTGAGAGACTGTACTGGTTTGAGGAGGAAAGATAAAGCTGGTCTCTGAGGGTGCTTCTTTGATTACTGGTCACTCCTTTTCAGAATAAGATTTAGAGGGAACTTTTTAAATATAGTTGTTCTTACTTTCTCTTTTTGTGAAAAGGAATTCTTGGCTGTGAGGGTGGTGAGGCCCTAGCACAGGTTGCCCAGAGAAGCTGTGGCTGCCCCAGCCCTGGAAGCGTCCAAGGCCGGGTTGGATGGGGCTTGGAGCAACCTGGGCTAGTGGGAGGTGTCCCTGCCCGTGGCAGGGGGTTGGGACAAGATGATCCTTAAGGTCCTTTCCAACCCAAACCATTCTGTGATTCTAAATCAGAAACTTTCATAAAATCTATGAATTTAAAGAACTTCTTTTAATATGTACTGGATGCAGTGCAGTCCGTTTTCTAGGTTCACTTTTAAAATTGATCCTTTCCTTCACATTGTTTTATTTTGAACCTATTCCTCTGTTATTTTCCTAAATAAATCTTAACGTCATGAGCTCAAGATGAATTTTTCATGGATTTTGAATTGCTCAGTACTAATATCTGGGTTTTTTTTTTCTTTCTTCTCACTCAGGTTTGCAGCACATACCCTCCAGAAATCGTGGTGCCTCGAGCTGCCTCCAAGGCAGTGGTGATGGGAAGTTCAAAGTTCAGAAGCCGAGGGCGGATTCCGGTGCTTTCTTACTTGTATAAGGAAAACAATGTTAGTGCTGGCTTGGGGTGAGAGCGAGGGTTCCCCTTTTTGCCCAGGTCCCTTCTAGTGACAGGAAATAATGAGATAATTATTAGACTTGAGACATTTGAGAACTGTGCTTCTCTTAATGGCTTTAAATATTAGTTCATTCTGAGTCACAGAATAAGCCGAATAAGACAAACACTTGGGGTGCATCCGGAGCTCTGCAAAAAGCCCAAACTTTCCAACCTTCTTTTTTATTTAAATCAACTTTCAGCAATTCCTTCTGATGTGGGGCTTTTAAATCTCCTGTTTAGCTATATTCAATAATGTTTTACCAAGTTCCATGTTAACTCAGCTAGATTTTATTAGTATTGAAGAGGAAGAACCACCCTGAAATAAATCCCCACTAGGTCACAATAAGTGAAGGTTTCATTTTTTTGTTTTTTTCCACTGAAGACCAAAATGTAAATTTTTAACTTTGCTGCCTCAGCAGTGTTTTAGATGCTGATGTGAGGAAAATGCTGTCACAGCCAAATTGTTGTTTTCCTGAGGAAATGTGCCTTGACCTGGGCACTGCATGGAGTTGTGCTGGCAACTTAAAGCATACTCAGTGCCCTTCTGAGCATGGAACAGTAACAACTGAGAAGGAAAACTGTGGAAAAGAATGGTTTGGAAATAGAAACCAAGTAGAAAACATGAGAAATTATGGCCTTCCAGTGCCTTATGAAAAGGAGGGAGAGGGATTTTTTGTAGGGGCACATAGTGACAGGACAAGGGGGAATGGTTTTAAACTGCCAGAGGGCAGGGTTAGATGGGATATTGGGAATAAATCCTTCCCTGTGAGGATGAGGAGGCCATGGCTGCCCCTGGATCCCTGGAAGTGTCCAAGGCCAGGTTGGACAGGGCTTGGAGCAACCTGGGCTAGTGGAAAGTGGAACATACTGCTTAGGGGGTGGAATGAAGTGGTCTTGAGGTCCCTTCCAAGCAAGCCCTTCTGGGGTTCTGTGGACTGCTAACATTTGGGATCCTGATCATCAGGCAGAGCACACTGTGAGGTTTCTTGGCCTCTCTACTTAATGAAGTTTCCCAAACCTCTCGCTTCGAGAAATAGCCCAGTGAGGTTTGTGTGGGTCCAGTTAAGCAGCAGTTTTTCAGTGAAGGAGAACACAAATAACCCCATTCAGTGGGTGTTTGGGGTGGGTGGGAGGTGCTGTGGGATTGGGGTGACCCTCTGTGTGTGTGTAGGTCTGTGGGATCAGGTTTGACCCCCTGTGTGCGTGAGAGGTGCTGTGGGATCAGGGGTGACCCTCTCTGTGTGTGTGTGATGCTGTGGGGTCAGGGCTCACCCTGTATGTCTGTGGGGTCAATGCTCTTCCCGTGTGGGGTGCTGTGGGTGAGCTGTGTCTGTGTGTTGCAGGCTGCCCTGTGCCGCTGCAGTCAGCCCCTGGCCGGGTTCAGCGCACGCTGCCTGGAGGACGAGCAGATGCTCCAGGCCATCCGAGAGGCCAACCCCGGGAGCCCCTTCATGTATGTTGTAGACACAAGGCCAAAGGTACCTTCCTAGGGTTCTGGGCTGCTTCTGTACCTCATGTCTGAATTAGTAAAGCTGGTTCCAGATTACTCTGGCACAACTGAGATTAGCTCGGTTGGTTAGAGTGTGGTGCTAATGCCGAGGCTGTGGGGTCAGTCCCTGTATGAGTCACTCTACTCATTGATGATCCTTGTGGTTCTCTTCCAGTTCAGAATATTCCAGGGTAACAACTCTGCCAGTGCTTTCTAGGCTGTGTGGGATCAGGGATGCAGGGTCACCTGGTTCAGGATATATAACTGCAGAGTTAAGTGCTGTTGGGATCTGGCACTCCTGGAGTCTCCTGGGCTGAAGTTTGTGGCATTTCCCTGCAGAGAGTCCATCATGTGTTAAGTTGGGAAGAAGCCTCAGAATGCAGTTTCATGGCACTGGAGTCTTATTTATCTATCTATTTATTTATTTATTTGAATATATAAAAATAAACAAGACTCCATATGGACTTTTTATTTATATACACATAAATATATATTTATAAATAATAATTATGTTTATATAAAATATTTATTTATATAAAATGTTTTATTATATAATAATTACATATATTTTGGAGAAATATATATTTCTACACTATAAATTATATTATTATATTTATTATATATAATATATATTTTATATATATATAATATATATATATATATGTATAAAATATACAAAATATAAAATATTTTTTATGTATTTATTGGCAGACCTGGGAGGAAGTGAGGCTGTGTGGGGTCTGATAACAACTAAGAAAAGCAATTGACATATATATATTTATACATACAGATAAATAATATTTTTATTTATATAATACATATATATAAGTATATTATTTTATATGTGTAATATAAATTATATTGTTCTATTTATTATATAATATGTAATAAATTGTATATTGTATATTAAAATAAAAATTATAATATATATAAATATTAAAAAATACACTATTATTTATATATTTACTGGCAGACCTGGCAGGAAGTGAGGCTGTGTGGGATCTGATAACAACTGAGAAAAGCAATTCCTCCATTTTTTTGCCTTTTAAAAATAACACCAGTGATGTGCAGCTTGGAGTTTAATACACTTCAGCTCTTCTGGTCCATAGCCACTGTTTGGGGCCAGAAGTTCAGAGCTGAGGGTTTTATTTAAGAGGATATTGATAAAATACTTGCAAAATTCAATCTCTAATGACTGTCACCTTGAGGAACTGAATTTAAGAACCAAATCAAATGATTCTCTTGTAAGCATATGGATTAGGAGTGTTGGTGTAAGGAAATTAGAACACAAGGAATTTCATAACACACAAGTATTTAAATGCAAAGATTTAAAAGTGCACTGACTGTTTTGAAATCGAGCTTTCTGAGAACCTGCTTCACTGTTCAGATATTGCAGTTATTTTATAGACACTGCATATTTAGTTAAAACTATGGCAAGGGCAAGAAGGGAAAAGTCTTTTGGGGAAAATGGGGAATGTTTCACCTGTTGTTCCAGTGTTATTTTGCCTTTTTGTACTGTGACATTTCCTGAGACCACCTATTCTGTAATGATGTATATGTTTTATAGCAATCACTGCAGATTTTTTTGGTACAGGCAGCTTCCAGTGTCAGATGTTCCCCTGAAATCCATCCTTGATGGCAATTTTGTGCTAAAATATTTGATGAAAAGGGGATAATTTGTAATTGGTGACATTTCTCTTTCAAACCCCACATACCTTACTTTGGTGGTAGAACTGAAACACTGGAGTTATTTGATAGTCTTAAACATGTCTGTACCATAGCTGACTTTTCCTTCCCTCCTCTCTATGGAGGCAAATCCCTCCTCTGCCCAGAGTAACCTGGGGGGAGGTGGAGCTCTGTTTTCTGTCACCACTCAAGATTTCCTGTAGCTCTTGAACTGTTTGGGTTAATTTTTAGGGCAACTGGCTTCTTTTCTACTTTTCTGCAGTTCCAGTTGGTTGCTGTATTCTTCCTGCTCAACTTGAATATTTCTATGTTTCCCTCAGGTGGCTTTATTTCATCTGTGCATGTATGTCTGTGAAAAGCTTTGGAATTCTCTTACTATTTCTATCCCACCATGTATGTATGTTACTGGGAAAAATGACTTTCCTAGTTTTGCTTTCCTTTGCTTCTCTCTGCATTTCCTTAGGTAGCTGCCCAGTTAGGGCAGGCTCAGTGTCTCTCTGCCTGCTTTGATGACAGCAGAAATTGGGGAAATTCTAGACAGGGTCTTAATGAGCCTCTGCATATGAGTAATGGACTGGAGACACTGGTGTAATTTTAGGGAATTAATGTCTGGGAGGTGGGGAAGTACAGCTGAGTAACAGCTTTGTTCAGTCCATTTTCTGGGAGATTTTAAAAAGAAAGAACATCTTGCAAAACAGGCTGATTTCCTTCTGTAGAGTATTGTAATTTTCCCTTCCTTTTCTCTCCCATTCCCTTGGATTTGGCAGTTGAATGCCATGGCCAACCGAGCTGCTGGGAAGGGCTATGAGAACGAGGACAACTATGAGAACATCCGCTTCAAATTCATTGGCATAGAGAACATTCATGTGATGAGGAGCAGCCTGCAGAAACTCCTGGAAGGTGGGTACAGCCCAGGGACTGGCCTTTGCTACCCCTGGCCACTTTTGGACAAAAAAATATCCAAATCCTACGTGCACAGCATTGTGCTGGGAGCAGAGTCAGTGTCTTGCTTTGTTTGCTCTGTGGAAGTGGCTGAAAGTATCATTGTGGTTAAAATGCTTTCCTGCTTGACATTTGATTTGTTCTTGTGCTTGGTTTTGTAGTGGTTCAAAACCAGCAGCCAACACTAACAGCATTCCTTAATTAATGTGCCAAATTAAAAGGAAAAGGCTATTACATTAGAAATACTACATTTTGCAACTAAGTCTCATGGTTGCTTCATGAGATGTTGAAAGAAAACTAACAGGTTGTTTAGGAAATACTTTTTGGGGTTTGATATATTGAATTTGGAGTATTTCAGTGTTATCTGAATTGAATCTGATTTGAAATACAGTTCCAAATTTCTAATCTCTGATTTGACATACATTTTTGGCATGATCTTCCAAAGGTTTGAATCTCATATGTACCTCGTTCTTACCTGTCATTTATTTCTGATTTCTTTTGATTAATACATACATTCATTTTTTAATACATAAATATATTAAAATGCAGAACCTCAGGTAATTAAGCTCCTTGTTATCTTAGGGGAAAAAGTAAAGCAGAGCAGAAGAAATACTTACCTGAGCCATTGGGGATCAAGAGGGGGATGATCACAAGTAGGAGTCCTCAATTTCCTGTTCGTGGCAGATTTATTTTGTGGTGGAAGAGAAGGCAGAATAAACACTTGATTGCTCCCATATTCTTCAGCAGTGATGAAACCTCACTCTCTGGTGCTTATGGACTGTTAGTGAACTTAATTACTGTCAGTATTTTCTGTGCTGGGTTTCATTACAGCCTCTGAGTTGCCTTCAAGGTTAGACATGTTATTTCTCTCTCTGTAAATTAGAACTCTCCTGTCTTCAAATCTCTGTGATGCTGAGGGAAGGGTTGTAGATGTGAGTATGATGGTGATTTATAGTGAAGTAACAGATCGCTAAACACTCGCTTTGTTGGAAAAAACTGAGCTGAGAAAAGAATGAGTTACCATTGAAAAAAAAAGAGGAGGATATTTTCTGAGCCTGAAGTTCTTACGCAAACCAGCAGTTTTTAGTTATGAATTTTAAGTATTCAGCCAGTAGTTTCTGTGTCCTTTAGACAGGATGTTGCTGCTGACACTTTAAAAATGTAGCTGTTAGGATACCGGGCTGTGGAGAGCTAATGAGGAGGTGTAGGAGATGCTGTTCACAGGGCGTCAGTTCATTCCTTTGTGTTTGTTCTTAGTGTGTGAAATGAAATCCCCCTCCATGAGCGACTTCCTCACTGGGCTGGAGAACTCGGGTTGGTTACGGCACATCAAGGCTGTCATTGATGCAGGTGTCTTCCTTGCCAAGGTAAAACTGCTCTCCAGCCTGCAGGTGAATTAAAAAACATGTAGTTGTCTGTTTGGGAAGGTGGAGAGACAGTGGGAAAACACTGCTATCCAGATTGGCCTCAGCTCTCCAAACCAACTTGGAGGACATAAGTGGGTCGGTCATCCAACTGGGCTCTCTCCTAGACACTGCTGTGACAAAGTGTTGGGGTGTTGTCCTGTGTGCTGTTTTGCAGCAAGCGGTTTCTGAGGCTTTATTAGAACTCATTTGAAACAGGTAAAACCACAGAATGTGAATAAAATTAAATAGAAGCAGTTCTGTCCAGTAGTGCAAACAACTCATAACCCTGGGCTCATTATTCAGTTACCTGCTCTGCTTTAATGGCAGGATTGTTTTGACCAGTTTATTTGCTGGATTTATGTGATGTGGACACTAATTTTGACTATTGAACACAATCCTAATTTCTGCAGAGCTCATGGCTTTGCAGGTCAGGAAAAGGAGAGAAGTCACTAGGGCTCTTTAGGAGGAGTAAAGGGTGTGCAGGAAATAACATTGCAAGAGTCGTGAGAGTAATTGTCTCATACAATTTTCCCATGTAGCAGGCATGAAAATGTTATTGTGTTTTCCTGCCACTGGTACAAGGGGAAGAAGATGATCCATATGGGAGGAGGTTGGGATCAGCTCTTCTAATTTGTCTTGAAGTTCCTGATCTCCATGTGTCCGATTCTTTACCCATACGCCAAATCTTTCCTCAGAGGAGGAGACTGAGAATTCTTGGCCTTTCAGGAGACTGAGTGCTTGGGATCACAGGCTCTATTTCTTGCCAGTCTGTTGCTGCCAAGACACGGTGCAGCATTTCGTTCTAGTTGGGGTTTCTGTGGGTTGATGTTCAACCCACAGACATTGGTGCATTTCTGTGGTCCAGATGAGAAGTGACAAATATTCCTCTGGAGTTTTAGGTAAATACAGATGAAGGGGTAGCATTTATTTCGGAAGTCTAGCTGGAAAGGTGCTGAAGTGCTGTGTGTGGTGTCTCCTCAGGCTGTGAGGGAGGAGAAGGCCAGTGTCCTGGTGCACTGCTCCGACGGGTGGGATCGCACAGCCCAGGTCTGCTCCCTGGCTGGGCTCCTCTTGGACCCCTTCTACAGGACCTTCAAAGGCTTCATGGTAAGGACACCAATGCTGGAATTTTAAAAATTCAAAACTAAAAAGTGCTTCCTGCATTGGAAAGGTAAACAGGCGCTAATTAAGTGTTTGAGGCCCTTTCCTGGCACAAGCAGGAGGTGACCTATATAAAGGAGCTTTGATTCTGTAATGAGCTTTAATTGCTCTGTGGGCACAAAAGGCAGGGGTTGATTTACAATTCCCGAATCTTTGTTTCCTTGAATGTCCACATGAGAGCCACTAATGAGAGGTTTCAGCAAGAGATGGATGAGGAAAGGATGCAGCTCTGGCTGCAATCCACCAAAAAGTGCTGTAGGAGCTTGTCATGTAGGTCTCTTATCTGCCGAGATTTCGAATTGGGTGAACTCACTGTCGAGCACGAGGCAGTGTATAACCTGTATATCAGTATAATCTGCCTCATTTCAGAGCTTTTTAAAAGCCGTTTCATATGAATTTGGCTGTTTGCTTCTAGTGCGGGCTTCTTCTTTTTTGCAGCCATCCCTCCATGAATACAGTGCAGTCTGGGATGTGCCTTTCCAGTTGTCCCTTGTTAAATACCTGAAGAGCTGCTGCTCTTTCTCAAAAGAGATACATATAAGAATCCCTGGAATCACAACAATGCAAATTTTTGCCTTCTCCCACGCTAGGACTGTTTCCTTACATTCCATGCTACTTTTATTATTATTTTTGCTTCTGGATTATACTGCAGGTTTTTTTAACAGTTAAAATTACATCAGCATAGGAAACATCTGCCTGGGCTTTGGCTGTGAACAATTCTGCATGAACTGAGAGACATGAATTTCTTAGGAACAGGAGCGATTACTAACACAGATACATCCTTGGCTGTCCCTTGAGACAAGGGTTTATAGGCACAAGTCCCCTGACAGTGGTTATTCCTAAATGAGTTAATGAGGAGTGTTAGGAATGGAAAAATTTGATAAGCAATATAAATGAAGTCTTTGAAAAACTCTGTTGTGCGTTTTTCCTGCCTTCTGTTCTTTAAGCCTCTGCATGATGAGATCAGGAATTGATCTTTAGATATGATCCAGCAAGAAATAATGACTGCAGCATCAGTCATGTGGTTCCTTTTGAGACATCTTTCAGGAAAACACTGCTTCCTTATTATTTTCCTATAGCTAGCACAGGGATTCTATTTAAAATAGAAATTGGTTGTTCTGATTTCATCCTGAGCTCCTCAATACACAGCTGTACTTCTTATATTCCTATTTGTGTGTTAAACATTTGTTGAATTCCAGCTGCTGATTTATTTTGGTGAGTTAAATAGCACATAGGGCAATATTAAGCTGTTAATTCTTTTAGCTCGGTGTGCTTATGTATTATGACTTTAAGAACATAGAAGCTCCCTCAAAATAGTACTAGACTTGCTGAAGTTCTCATTCCAACAATGCCGTTGCACTGGTAACTGGATAATCTGTAAATCACAATTACTGTTCCCATTGATTTCTGTGGATATACTTGTAACTATAGAGTCAGCAGCTTTTTAGGCTTTAGCATCAAAGGCTTCACTTTTCTTTTTTAACCAAAGTAATGCTCTTTTTTTTAATCCCTCTTTTGAAACTGCAGGTTCTGATAGAAAAGGAGTGGATTGCAATGGGCCACAAGTTCTCCCACAGGTAAGAGGAGCAGGTTATTTGGGTGGAGTGACTGGGTGGGACTTGACTGGGAAACCAATACAGTGTCTTCAGGTTTATGTGCTCCCAGGAAAAATGTAAAGGAAAATACAGGTGAGGGGAGAGAAGATTTGGAAAAGACTGGAGTTGGTGACATAAAGCCAGTATCTTCCAGGGCTGTTATTTCATTCAGTGTTTTTTTATTACTTTGCAGAATTATAGGCTTGAATTCATTGTCTGAATTCTGGGTGTTTTCCTACCCGAAAAATTGTATTATTTGAGGAGTGCTAATCATAAAATCACAGAATCATTAATGTTGGAAAAGACCTCCAAGATCCTAAAGTCCAACCATTAACCCACCCCCATGTCCCCAATTGCCACATCCACTCCAGGGGTGGTGACTCCACCCCTGCCCTGGGCAGCCTGTGCCATCAATAAGGTTCTGATTCATTCTTTTGCAATTATCTCCTGAGGGAAGATCTCAGCTGCTGTTTTTCAGGACTTTTACTGAGTTCAAACCATAAGCTTGAAGAACTGGAAGAAGACTTCCCATTTTAATGTTTAGGGGGCTCTTTTTGTGTTGGGTGACACAGGATTTAACCCTGTTTACATCTCTCCAGGTGTGGCCACTTGGATGGGGACCCCAAGGAGGTGTCCCCCGTGTTCACCCAGTTTGTGGAGTGTGTCTGGCAGCTCATGCAGCAGTTCCCCTGCTCCTTTGAGTTCAATGAGAGGTTCCTTCTGGAAATCCATGACCATGTTTACTCCTGCCAGTTTGGCAACTTCCTTGGGACCTGCCACAAGGAGCGTGAAGATCTCAAGTGAGTTGATAGTTGGTAGAGCCAGAAGTGACTTGAAATGTCAGGAAAGGGGCAGGTTGGATGTGTTTGTGTGTTTTAATATAACTCTGGATTGGTTAAGGGTAGCATTGTCTTGAGAGATGCTAAAAAATTATATCTCAGAAGACAGATGTTTTAATTTGGACCACAGTAAGCCCTTCTGGATTGGCTGGTGGATTATATATTCCTCAGGGATGTATCTTGCGTTTATGTAATTAATCAGATAATGTGTAAAAATAATTCATAGCTTCCTTAATCTAATTCTCCTCTGAACAGTTAGAGTTCTTAATCCACTTGCCTCTTTTTTTTTAGTGATTAGATGTTATTTGTACTTGACAGAATCTTTGAGAAGACCCATTCTCTGTGGCCTTTCCTCTTACAGAGGAAGCAGGAATTGAGAAATCCTTTGTACAGAGGGTTTACAGCTTACAAAGAACTTCAACCAAACACACTGCCTTTCAGTTTCCAGTAAGTTGCTCATTTAAGAAGGGGGGATTTCTTTCATTATGATGTAGATTGATAATTCAGGTTTAATAAAATAAATTTGCACTGATCAGCTTGATTTGTTTTACCCTTCCCCTCCATTCCTCACCCATAAACTGAGATTAGCAGTGCACCGGTAATGGTTAAATAAGTGCAGGTGCTGTAATTTAATATTTTTTTCTTTGGGGTTGAGAAAGAGGGTGAGGAAAGGCAAGGAAAAACATAACTTCAGATGAAGATAGAACCACATGCCCCCTGACTGCTTGCTCTGTCACATGTAAGTCATAGCCTAGACAGTTGTTTGAGAAAGTTCCTCTTTTTCTCCTTTTTAATATATATTAAGAAAGTCTTTCAAGCAGGAATTTTGGTGCCCAGTCACACCCAGGCTGATGCAGTCAGGGTTTTTTTCCCAAGAAGGGTGTTCTGGTTGCTTACCCAGGGTGTTACAAGAGGTGGTGAGTTTGGCTTTGTGTCTGGTCCCTGCTGAGGGAGAGGGGGATGCAAATGTGTTTTTAAGTGCTGTATGTGGTTACTGGTGGGCAAAGAGGACTTGAAGGCGAGCTGCCCAAGCCTCCAGTAAGTCTGCTATAGAAAAAAAAGTGTATTTTCATCCTATTCTAATACCTACTGTCAGGTCTTTTAACTTTATGGAAATTTGCCCACTGAGTCAGAATTTCATAATCCAAGGCCATGGTGGTTTTTTGCAATCAATTACCTACCACAAGCTGTTGAAAATTCTTAAAAGAATTCTTGAAGAAAATTCTTTTCTTAACAGAATGTTGACAGTAGGGCACAAGTGACCTCCTAATTCCCTTTTCCTGCCCTGTTCTTGAGGTTTTGGTGTGGGATGTACAATCGCTTTGACAAAGGGATGCACCCAAAACAGTGTGTGTTGGATCATCTGCTGAGCTGCATGAGCCAGAAGGTGCAGCTGGAGGACGATGCATCTGAACTGGAAAACGTGAGGCTATTTATATTTCTTTAGTATTTCAAATCCCATGACGGCTTTGGCCAATGTATCTGGGTTTAAATATTGGCACTGGAGAGTTGTTTCAGTAAGCTGGGCAAAATGAGGGGTTAAATGACAAGGCTCTGCTAGCAGTAGATTTGCTGTTTGTATTAAAAAAAAACCAGAACACCCACAGACAAACTAAAAAACACATCTAAAAATATACCAGTGAGAAGGCTATCACTGTCCTTTGCCAGTTTAATGTGGATGCTGAAAACTTCAGCTTTCCTAATTAAACTCTGGTCTTTGTATCAAACATGTAAAGATCTGTGCCCATGGACTTCAGTGCTGGAAAAGAGGCACTGGCACAGGGCTGTTGTGTTGACAGCTGATTTTTTGTACACTGCTGACACCTGTGAATAGTACCTTTTATTAATTTTTTTTAACATCTTTTTATTTGTGTAGAAACTTCCTTTCCTTGACGGTCCTTTGCCTGGTGAAGCTTCCTCCTTCCCCAGAGCAGGACATGCTGCTCCCAAAGCCCCCGTGCCCAACACTCCTCAGAACTATGGAGGGGCAGCACCCCCTGTGCTGAGCAACGGGACCTCCCCTGGGGCTGGGGGCTCAGCTGTGGACCAGAAGCACAAAGAGAACCTGTCTCACCACCACCAGGATCTTGGTGCCTCCACGGAGGTGTCGGACGGGAATGCTCAGCACCAGTGAGGAGCTCTGGGAATGCTCAGCACCAGTGAGGAGCTCTGAACTGTTGGGTGAAGCAGGCTCTGATGGGGTGACCCCACGGGGTGCAGACCCCCATTTACAGCTGAGTGTGAGTACAGGGTGTGCTGGGGGAGCAGGTTGGGTTTGGGACACATCCCTGTGCAGCTGGAATGATGCAGAGCTGACCAGGAGGCTCCTGGAGCTCGTGTAAACTCGGGTTTTGGTGGAAACACGTGTGTTTTTAAGGTTTGTGGCTGCCTGCCAGCACTGGTGTTTGAAGCTGGAAGAAATCCTGGCCAATTAATGCTGAGAGTTGGGCAGTGTTTGTAACCAGAAGAGAGAGGATGCAATCTGTCTGTGCTCAGTGCTGGTACAAGGTCATCTTAAAATGATAAAAAATTCCAGTTCATCTTAAAATGATAAAACCCCCCCACCACCCTTTCTTAGCTGTGAATGACTCTCTGCATGGACCCTCACCTTGTAGCAGAACTGACTCCATTTTTGTTTCCTATGCATTTTTGTTACACAAAACCAAACCCCCGTGCCTTTTTCTGAGGTTGCTCTCATGTCCAGCCACACCATGTGCTGTTTTTATTATTGTAGTGTAAAGTGTAGTGTTGGGTCTTTGTAGTCAGTATTTCTAAGGAGGTTTTTACCTGCTGCAGCCTCCCCAGGATCTTTGCTGATCCCCCTGAGTTCAGTAGCTTCTTTCTAAGCTGACCTCTCGAAGAATAAGTTCTTATGGACCTCATTTACTGCAGCAAGGCAGAGTCAGCCTGTAACACATGGATTTTTGACCAGAGGGAGGGTTAGAAACGAGAAAAGATAGGAAAACATTTCTGTGGAACTTTTCTCTCTTATTTTATGGTCTTGGTTAAGCTGAAGCAAGACAGTAACTCCGTTTTAAGCTGGGATCAATGTGCTTTCTCCACATCCACTGATGAGGCAGCAATTACAGATGAACTGTGTTCTCTTATTGAAATGGGGCCTAAAATGATTATATCACTTGCTGAGTGATTACAGAGAATGTTATCTTGGATGTTAAAGTTACATGGACTGCTGGGATGTTTTGTCTGTACCATCAAGATGTGGTGAGATGAACAATGTCTCTCGTGGCAATGAACTTGGTAATTTTGTGACAAAAGGGAAATTGGGATGTGAACCCTCATTGGAACACGAAGTGAACATGAACACCGTGGCTGTGGCTCCAGGGCTTGTTAACGCTACTTGGAGTCTTCCATGTGCTGGAATCTCAACTGGAGATACAGTTCAAAGTTGCAGGTTTAAAACAGGGACGTGTATTGCATCTATACAGAAGCCCTGTAAAGAAACAAGGACTTTTTCCCCAAGGAATGGGTGTCCCTGTCACAAATGAGTGTCTGAAGGTCCCTCAAAGAACCCCCAGCAAAAGCAGGTTTCATGGAACAGTAGAAGTGTGACCAAGTTCATTGGCAAGGTTCACTCTACTGCTTCATATACATGGTTAAAGCACATGCAGAAAAAGCACACTAAAAGAGAAAATCAATCATTGTAAAACCAAAACCAACCAAAAATTATCCACCTGGAGGCTGGGGATGGAAAAGGGTCAGGATAAGAAGGAATAAGGGAGAGCCTCCTGTGGAGGCACAAGGTTCAGAGTAGACCACACTGCCAAACTGGGCCCTGGGCTTGACCAACAGTTTAGGGCTAAAGGTTTTGTAGAATCATAAGCAGCACTTAAACTTAACAGCACTGAATCCATAGCTGGAGGTAAACAATTTACCAAAGGTTTCCTGGAGGATTTACTAAAAGCACAACTCCCTTGGAGGCTGAACTTCCTTACAGCTCTGAAGTACTTAAGAATCCAGGAGAGCAACATTCCCAGTCCATTTGCTGTGGCATCCCACAGCCCTAAAGGAGTGTGTACAGGTATATCCCTGGGAGAAATTCCCCTGGAATTCAGTGAAGGACTCGTGTTGGATGCCTTTGCATGTTCTCAGCGGGCAAAGGGTTGAGGTTTCAGCCCTGGCTCCTCCAAGTAGAGCAAACTTGAGAGTTTTGTGGCTCTGAGAGGTGTCCTGCTCCAAGGGAGATGCTGGTGCAGCCACCTGTGGTCTAGGAGAGCTCCAAGGGTCTCACTCAGGACCCCTGATTTGGCTTTAGTCACAGTCATTTTCCATCCTGACCACAATTTGGGTCAATAACGTTCTTTGCGAGATCAATAAACAATGTTTAAAAATCAATAAAAATGTTGTTCAACTTGTTCAGGCAAGAAAAATCAGTTTCCAAGGCTGTTGGTTAAAAACCAGGAGCTCATTATCCAGCAGAGTTCCTGGGAACAGACGGTTTTTGAAGAGCTCAAGAGTTCAGCCCAGGTGCTGTTTGTGAAGGCCAAGGCCTAAGGAGCATTTCTGAGATCACAGCGTGGCCTGGGAGAGGTGGAGGATGTTCCACCCCCAGGAAAACTGTCCCACATTCCACGTTCTGGACAAGCTTCTACAGATGTGCTTAATTGCACAGAGTCCCTTTGTGCAGTTAATTCAGGATGCTTTTTTGCTGGCTCTTGAAACTGTTGTTTAGGTGCTGCTGTTAAGTTTTAAAATCAGTTTTTCTCTTTTATGAAGCAAATATTGAAGTGAGCCTTCCCAATCTCCAGTAAGAAGTAGAAACATTCCATTATAGCATCATAAAATGCAGTGTCTGCCCCTCATTGTGTTTATAACCCAGGGTGAAATCACTGGGTGAGGTTTGGTCTTCAAGGTAAAGTAGAAAAAAAACAACCAAAAATTCCCCTGAGTGTCTCACTTTGGGTGAGAAAATATCTATTTTATTAAGCATGTCAAAAGACTCTAAAAGGGCAAGAGCCAAGAACACAGAGTTCCTTCACTGCCTGGAATGGCAAAGAGGAAGTTTTTTAATACTGGGGGGTTGTCAGTCATAAAGCAAATAATAGAGTTGTTTTCAAGGAAGGAGTGGGAGCTGAAATGATTGATTAAAAACCAAGCACACGAAATGCTGCCCCAGCTATGACTTACAGATCAGCCTCTGTCTCTTCTTTCCAGGTGGTACAAGAATGTACTGGCTTCTTGGAGCAATCTCAAATGGGAAATGAGGCCCAGAAAGGCATTTTTTAGGACCAAGTATTCTAGAGATCATCAGTTCTTTTAATATCTTTAATATCTCTGATTTTCATTAGAGATACAGAATTGTACAGCATTTTGACTGACTCCTGAAGGTTTTAGACATGCCATTGATTAATTATTGTGTAAAACCAGCTTGCAGGGGGATTCCGTAAATGTTTACACGTTGCCTTGTCTTTGGAAGTGCCACAGATTACCTTGAGAAAGTTTAATTATTATTAATTATTCCTGATCTCTACAAATCCTCTTGACTACAGTGTTACTACAGATGTGTGTAACCACCACCAGGTCACTTCAGACCCTGCAAGTAAGTGTTAGTAAGCTTGTAGTAACCTTTCTGCTTTCGACTTCAGTGACAGAACAATGGGTGACTTTATACTTGGAAATGCAAAAAATCATGTCCTGTCTTTTTAAACCTCGTGCATTTAATGTGTACAGACTTAGTCAAACCTCCAGTGTATTAAAAATCATTCATGCTGGTGCTGTAATTTATGAAGCTGGAAAAGATTCCAGGCTTTCCTGGCTTTCCATGAGCTTATTGGTTTGAAAAGCCATTAGCAAGAAGCTTTTTAGTTTTGATGGTAACTCTGGGGTGCTTGAAGACCAAAAATGAAGGTCGGGTGGGATCTCCTTCCTGAAGCATTCCAAGAAGCCTATGTTCCCTCCTCATGGAACGCCCTGCTGACTTGATTCTCTGTTTCCTGGAAGCGTTAAAGGAGTGGAAAAGCTGTTACATAGGAATCTGCTTCAGCAAGCCCTGTATGACAGTTACTGTGACATATTTATTCCTAGTGGAGCTTCCCTGCGTCCTGAGGTCAGAAATCCTGCTTTTATTTGGAGCTCTTGAGTGAACAACGCAACTTCCTTCCATTTGGATTCTTCTGACTGGGAGAACTGGGAGGGAGAAGGGATGTGGTTTGCTGTGGGTGGGCTCTGTTTGTGTAAAGCTGGTTCTTTTCTGGAGCTCCTCTGGCTCCACCAGGTCCCTCCAAGGCTTCCCCAGGACCCTCCTGCCTGTGCTCAGTGTCCCTCCTGCTACAACCAGGTGTAACCTTGCAGTAGGTCACATTCTATGTTAAAACTACTACTTTGAAGTAGAAGAGGGACCTGTGGAACTTCATTTCTCAGTTGAAATGTCTTAATGTCAACTTCACTCTGGTGGATCCTTAAACTGTGTTTTGTTTTGCAGTTGGCAGAGAAAATGCAATGGGTGCTGTTTGCTCTGCTGGAAAAAAAAAGGGAATAATGGGTTTGTCCATAGTTTTAGCTCTCCACTGGCCTCTTAATAGGTGAGAAAAAGCAGTCTGTTAAAGGTTTAGGTGTAGTTTCCTCCTGGCTGCCTGGTCTGTTCCTGTGCTCAGTGGTAGGCTGAGTTAAGTCCTTGGAAGAAAACTCCCCCTGCAGTGTGGCTGGTGCAAAAATGCCTGGGATAGAGGAGGACACTTGCTTGGAGGCAGCTGGGAAGCTTTGCTTGTCTTCAGTTTCTTCAGGAAGCTTCTGGAATCCTGGAGAGCAGGATTTGCCAGGAGCTGAAGGTGTGCTTCAGAGGATTTCCACCTGGAGTGAGACCTTGTGGGGTTACAGGTTGGAATCTCCATGCTGAAGAGCCCTGTGACTGCTGTTCCCAGCAGGTTTGGAGACACAGAGCCCTGGCAGGAGCTCCCAAAGCTGCAGCACCCAGAGGATAAGCATTTCCAAGGGAAGAGCTCCTGTTCCAGGCACTGCTGCCTGGTCCTTGGGCAGCCCCAGTCCGTCCCTGAGGGTCACCACCCAAAGGATCATTCCTTGGCACAGTGTAGTAATGGATATCCATGAGGGAGCAGGAGAATTCCTGCAGTGTCTGTGTCACTCCTGCCTGTCCCACAACTCTAGGTGCTGGGGTTGTTTTTGTAGGGACCAACCCAGTTATTCCTTGTTTACATCCCAGCCCTCACGCACATCCAGGCACTTCCCTGGGGGGAAGAAGCTGCTCTGAATGTACCAGTTTTAATTACTACCCAGAGCTTGATTAATTAGCTGAGGGACTAGGTTATGTTAAGTCCATGTTCAGGCAGCCAGGTGGGTGCCAGCAGCAGTCGGTGTCATTTGTTGGTGCAGGTGTTGTAATAATTACGTTAACTTGACGTCCAGTTAATAATTACATTAATTTAACGGCCCCTCTGCAGTGCAGGAGCGGGGCAGGAGGGCAGTGGGTGGTGTGTCTCTCCCACCATTTCTCTCTGTAAATGCATCTGTATTTAATGTAGCAGATACTCCTGGAGTAACTCGTAGCACTGGATCCCATCCCGAGTCCAGATGGACCTTCCCTGACGTCCACAAACTGATCTTTGTAGGAACATTCCCAAAATTGTGTGTAGTGCTGGCTGGAAATGTCAGTGTTGCTGTTTGTCTGTGTCACTGCTGAGGGACAGTTGTGTAAGTTGTGGGTGGTGAAACCCCCTGTTCCAGAACGTTCCATGATGGCCCTGTGTGTCAGTTTAGTTCGTGCACTGCTTGAAAAAATAATTGTCCATCTCTAGAGAAGCACTGTGGTTTTTTCTCTCTAAATGTATTTGTCCCAGGAAGTTTCACTTGTATTACAATTTATTTTTATTCCCTACAAAAATAAACACCTCACCTTTTTAAAGTAGATAAATGGCTGGTCTGATAATTGTTTATTAATTAACTCAAAGAACAACTTCACACTTGGAAATGTGAAGTCAATTAAAGGATCTTAAGTAATGAGCTTATCTAAAAGTGAATGTGGTGCCACTTCCCCTTCCTTTACAGGGGAGAAACTGGGTGGCCTTAATGGTTTTGGGGGGTGCAGCACTGCCTAGGTTCTTTAAAAACAACCCAAAAATTATTACTAATGAAGCTGTGTTAAAACTTAGTGTCTTCTTTACACTGTGCTACTCTGATATTTTTTAATTAGATTTTTCTTTATACATAAACCTAAATATCTTTAGATATTAAAGCCAAATATCTTCAGTGTTTTCTTTCTCCTGGGAAGCTGTTTGTGTCTCAACCACAGGTGACTCCAGGCTGACTGCAAAGCTTCCTGAGGAGCAACCAGAGCTTCTGGCCTCTGAGAGGAGCTTAGTCCAACCTTTGTGGGTGATCCAGGCTCCAGGTGAAGAGATTTCCCTGGTGGCTTTTGAGTGATGAATCCACAGCCCCACTGCTGAGGGTGTAATTTAAAAATGCTCTTTTATCCCATTCTTTTTAGTCATTAATTCAAAAGTCAAGGTGAGTTGTTATATTTTCTGAGTGCTGGCAAACTCAGGTGAGGTGGGAGAATGCTCAGGGAAGAGGGGGATTCCAGGTGCAGAAAACTTGCCTTGTGTTTATGAACGAGATTGGAATCAATACTTTACTTAGAGCTGTGCAGCAACAGTCAAACCTACAATTAAATCTGCAGAGTGGTGAGACATGAGGTGAAAGGAGTTGATTTGATGTTTTGAAGGCTTTCTCAAGCGCTTCAGGCTGCCATTTGCATTGGGAGATGCATGTGGATGGTTTAAATCTGCCTGGCAGAGCCGTGCAGGCTATTTCAGTCATCAGTCTGAAAATAAGCATTTGGAGGTTTTTAATACTCGTGTGGGAGCTGAGTAACAACAAGGAGGGGACCTGCAGGAGATGCTGGTCCTGAGCTCTCCATCCTCACTTGGGGCAGGATGAGCCTGTGAACCCCTGGAATAGACCCAGACCTGTTACTGAGCCCCTGATCAATATTTCCCACTGCACTGTGCACCTTAAAAATGGGGATTTTCTAGCTATTAAGGCAAAAAATTAGGCCTGGCTCTTGAGTATACTCAGTCCCCAGGTGTTTCACAGCCTTTTTTTCCTTCTTGCTAATTTTAAATGTTCTTAATGTTGCCAGTGAAATCCTTCATTTACCTTAATTAGATTTGCCTTACATTTAATTGGATTATTAGCATTAACACTGACTACAATTGATAAAGCTGCAGTTTACGTTTGGGGGAAATTCAGGCGAAAGGTGTGTTAATTGTAGCTTCCCTTGCCTGCAAACAGCACGTAGATTGGAGCGTTCTCCTGGAAACTGTATTTTCCTGCTCTTTAGGGGAGTAGGGGGGTGGGGATACAAAACCCAGTAGCCTTTGGAGTAACAACCCTGAGTAAGGGTTATAGTAAATGCTAACCCTTAGTAGGGGTTACTGAGTAATAAATGAGTTAGTCAGAGCAGGGCAATGGGGTTGGGAAAAGTCAAAGCTGCTTTATGAATCTGATCTTTTTTGCTCCCTCTCTCTCAACAAAGGACAGATCTTGAAGCCTGCTCAGCCATGGGAGAGAAGCAAGGAATTCAGTGTGAATGAGAATCCATGAAGACATATCCATAAGCAAAAATCCCCATGGATGGATCTGCAGATTGTCAGGTGCTGTTCCTGTTGAGGGATTTCCACCTGGGAATGTTCCAGGCCAGGCTGCATAAACTTGGAGGAACCTGGTTTAGTGGAAGGTGTAACTGGATGTTTTTAAGGTCCCTTCCAACCCAAACCATCCTGGGATTCCAGGCTCCAAAAGGGAGCTCCCAGAAGGCCATGGAAGCAGGGAGCCCAACTCCTGTGGCTCCAATGCTGCTGAAATTCCTCAGGGAGGAGAAGAAACAGGTGCTGGATTCCTCCTTCATGTCTAACTGTGCATTTTGGGTGTTAACGCACCAAGTAAATTGGGAATTGCCTACAATGGAGCGGTGGCTGTGCAGGTATGTGCAGGGAGCCAGGGAATTCTGTGCGGATGTCTGTGCCCTCTCCTGGGGAATACCTGAATCACAGGGCTGCTGGAGCCACCTCCCGGCTGGGCAGAGAGAAGATGGCCAACAGAATCCACAGGGATAAGTGCTGGAATGTGATCGGCATGGAGGGAAACTCCCAAGCTCAAAGGCTTCACTGCGGTCTGGCAGCGACTCCCAGCTCAAAGTAGCCCCACTCAGTAGCTGCGTTTCTGACCTTGAGGACTGTTAGTAAATCCTTAATCCCTGCAAAATCATTTATTTGGCACTGTTTAACTCCAAACTTTTAAATCAGGATGCTTAGCAGCCTTAAATCCAAAAGCTCATTAGCTCTCCTCAGCTGCCTTAATAACTATAATCTCTTTAATGGAAGCAACTCCGGACAGGATTTACCTTCCCAAAAAACCTTATTGACTGGGATTAAGTACACTTCTGCCTTCTAATTCTTCCCCAGTGAAGGAAGAGCTGATAAAGAGTTGCTTTGCTGGAGCCCAGGCCAGGTCAGCTTCTGGCTCAGGACAGCTGCTCGTGCCAGGAGCTCCTAGAGGTAAAGGGTTTTCCTGACTCCTTGGCCTTCCCTGGAGTTTGAAGCACTGGGAAGCTTCTCCAAAATGGGTCAGGCTTATCAGTCACCTCTCACTGGGCTCCCATCAGGGTTTATCTGGCTCTGCTGATGTAAATATCCATGTGGGATGCGTGGAACACATTCCTGCAGCAGCACAGGGAGCACCAGGAGCATGTCTGTGTGTGATTCCAGTTGAGGAGGTTTCTCAGCAAGTGCTTCCTCATTAGTATTTGGTTTAATCTGCTCCTTTACCAAAGAGCTGCTCTTGTTTCTAAGATCTTTCTTGGGTAACAACTAAAGAGCAGCAACAACAACAAAATAATAAGCAGTTTATCATTAATTTCCCTTTCAAGGGTTTTCCTTTCATCTCCAAGTTTCCTACGTTTCACATTTTCTAACGTGTATTCACTCTGTTGTCTGCACTCCCTTTTTTTTTTCCCTTTATAACACTGTCTTTTTAATGGCTGCTTTGATTTCTGTGTTTTGTGGGTTTCCAGCCAGGCTTGGCTTTTCTCACTGCAGCCTCCCTGTTGTGGTCGCAGCTTCTTGACACTCAGTAAACCTTGAACTCTCCACTCCTGCTCCCATGTTTATCCACATAATACTCCACAATTCCGTTGGGGAAACTGACCTTGTTGAAGTAATAACCTATTTTTGGCTGAATTTGGAGAGTGAAAGTATGAGGAAGCCAAAAGTCTAAACGCAATCAATACTGAGCATTTCCCTGCTCTTCAGCAGGGCCCACAAACCAGGTGGTGGTGACATGGGGACATCATACATTTTGCAGAGCCCCCTGATTTCACTTCTTGCAGCAGTGGAGATTTTTCTGCTGGACAGTTTGGTTCCCCTCTTGTTATCTTGTGCCACTGATAACTCTGCCTCAAACTGCCAGGCTGTTCCTGCTCCACTGCCGAGGGCTTGGGAGAAGGCTTCAAGGGAACTGGATAAAATACAATTACACTTCCCAGCTGACAGCTTTTGATAAGAGCCCCAGTGCTGTTCTCTGCTCCTTTTGTTTGCCCTGTAAAGTTTCCTGCCTTCCTCTCTGCTGCTTAATTTTACAAAGCCATGGCCGTGGTTCCTTCTGGCAGGTGCATCCAGGGGAGAAGAAGTAGGAGCACCTCAGGAGGGAAATCTGGACTGTCTTCGATGGCTTTTGTTCTTCTAGTGTTTAATAAGCAATTCTGGATGATGCAAATGGCCATTTTTGTTGCTGTGAAAGGGGAGAAGGTGGTTAGGAGAGGGTTTAAGAGGGAATTTGGGTGACTGGCAGCCCTGGCAAGGGACCCCAAACCGCCCAGTTCCCTGTGATTCCTTTGAGGAAACAGTGAAGCAGATGCTTTGTGTCTGCTCAGATGGGTCAGGCAGCCCCCAGCACCTGTCCTAGCCTCCCCCCACCTCGCTGCCCTCACTATATTTACCCAGAGGGAACTTTCCAAGAATGGAAGTGGTAAGATAAAACCCCTGAGGGGCTAAAATTAGCCCCAGGCCCTGGCCCTGTCCTGCCGTGGCATTTCAGCTGTGAGCTCTGAGCCTGCTCTGGTCACACAGAGCAAGTGGCCATCCCCGGCAAGGTCCCCTCTCTTCTGCTCCTGGTTTTGGGTTTAATCCACAGGAGGACTCTTCATGGGACCCCCAAGGCCTCAGGTGCTGTGAGCATCCCCCCTTCCCCAGGTAAGGCAGCAGCTCCAGGACCCCCCCGGCGGTGGGAGGTGGGAGGTACCTGAGAACCAGCTGTACAAGTGGGTTCTCTGTCGCAGCCTCTTTTTGGGGGGGTCTGTGGGTGCCTGGACAGCTTCTTCCAGCTCAGGACATGACAACTTTCTCTGAGGGTGGGAAGGCCCTGGCACAGGTTGCCCAGAGAAGCTGTGGCTGCCCCATCTCTGGAAGTGTCTAAGGCCAGGTTGGACGGGGCTTGGAGCAACCTGGGCTAGTGGGAGGTGTCCCTGCCCATGGCAGGGGGCAGATGGGATGAGCTTTAAGGTTCCTTCCAACTCAAACCATTCTGGAATTCCATGAACTCTGGTTTGGGCTCTTCTGGTTGAAGAGCCTCTGTGAGCTCCTCACACAAGTACTTTCACTGTCCAAGTAACCTTCCTTTGGAGATCCTGTTTGTGTGTTCAGGAAATGTTACAGCTGCTCTTTTACTTTTCCACACTGTTCCCCTTGGAAATATAACTTGTAATATAACTTTCTTTTTGAACCAAATTTGCAATAACCCCCCCAAACCCAATTAGCCATGTGTATGGGGTGATCCCAAAGCTCCAGAGCTCATTATCAGCGTGTCTAATGAATAACAACAATGCTACAATTCCATATATTTCTGTATAAACTGGGACGTGTGGAAGCCCAGCAGAGCTTTGCTGTCGCTCAGAGCCATCAGATTTGTCCCACTTCCCCCAGCTGTGCCATGGCCTGGCAGAGGGTCACTGGGAGCTCGGAGGCGGATTTGGGACGGGCCCCCCGGTGGCTGCCCCGTCGTTTGCAGATCGAGGTTAATTGCTCGAGGTGCAGCTCTTTGGCTCCTCCGAGGGCGGAGCAGAGACCGAGCTCTGCCTCTGCCGCGGAAACACGAGATGCCACAGGGCTGCCGAGAAATTCCTCTGCCCATCCCATTTCCAACTGGGACATCACATTCCTGTCTCTTGCTGCACTGAGGCCACGTCCTGCACCCAGAGCCCGGCAGTCGTGGAGGGGGGGGTTCAGTCTCTGCTCAGTATGATCAGCTCAGCATCCCCCCTTCCTCCCACCACCCCAAACCCCTCACTACAAACATCCCAGACCCAGCTATGTTCCTTGGGCTGAAGGAGGAGAGAGGAAAATTGTGGAATTCTAATGCTGTCATCGTTTTGGGAAGGGAGAAGCTGAAAGGTGTTTGATCCCTAATCAAACCAACTCCCTTCACATTCACCTCATCCTCTATTTTGAAACCCAAGTCCTGTAAAAACTGGCAGGGGGTAAAAACCTTCCAACACTGCCAGCTTTTCATCCGGGTTTCCTGAAACACTTGGAATTGCAGGTGCTGGTGAGAGTCCCAGGAACGAAGCAGAATTGTTTCCCACTCTTTTCCAACATGCTCTTTTCTCCCAGGGAGAACTGGATGGGGATTGCTGAGAGTTTGGGAAATGGGAGGCTTTGCCCAGCAGTGGGTGCAGGGGCCTTACCAGATCATGTGGCACCCAGAGTCTTCCTGAGCTCCAGGTTGAGTATCCCATGAGGAATCTCTTACCCTTTACCCCCTCAGGGCTGATGGAGCCAGGTTGGGAGAGCTGGGGGGGGTTCACCTGGAGAAGAGAAGGCTCCAGGGAGACCTGAGAGCCCCTTCCAGGGCCTAAAGGGGCTTCAGAAGAGCTGGAGAGGGACTTGGGACAAGGGATGGGGGGACAGAACAAGGGGGAATGGCTTCCCACTTCCAGAGGGCAGGGTTAGATGGGATATTGGGAAGGAATTCTTCCCCGTGAGGGTGGGGAGGCCCTGGCACAGGTTACCCAGAGAAGCTGTGGCTGCCCCATCCCTGGAAGTGTCCAAGGCCAGGTTGGATCAGCCTGGGCTAGTGGAAGGTGTCCCTGCCCATGAAACTGGATGGTCTTTGAGGTCCCTTCTGACCCAGACCATTCCATGATTTTAAGGGAACATGACCCACGTACCTGCTACACCTTTGCCCTCTGTTGTTGCCTCAGCCCTTCACCCACAGGATTTCCTCACGTGGTGGCAGGGCAGTGCTGCCCATCAGCAGCACCAGAACCCAATGCTCTTTGTCCATTTTTGTTTTAAATCTTCCCCATATTGTACATTAAAAATAATGCTAAAAAGCTGGCGTTGGTGTCAGGGGCTGGTTCTCACCTGCTTTTGTCATCCTGTAGATCTTTGCCTTTATCCTTTACCATGAAAGCAGCACATGGGCGACAGACCCCCGAAAATGAGCCTGATGGACATCAACAAAATGTTCTCCATGCTCCAGCCCAGGGATGACGAGCAGGAGGACGATGGGGAGAGCGAGGAGCTGAGCCGGGCAGTGTCTGAGGATGACTGTGAAACGCTGCATCGCCTCCTGTCCCAGGACAGGTACAAGAGGCTCATCAACCGCCGGAGCGGCTGGGGGGTCCCCAGCACCCCCCTGCGCCTGGCGGCCACGCGGGGCTGCGTGCGGAGCCTGCGGGTGCTGCTGGCCCACGGGGCCGAGGTGGACGGCCTGGACGTGAAGGCCCAGACCCCGCTGTTCGTGGCCGTCAGCAATGGCCACCGCGAGTGCGTGGAGGCCCTGCTGGATGCCGGGGCCAGTCCCACAGGCAGCATCTACAACAACTGCTCCCCGCTGCTCCTCGCGGCCAGGGACGGCAACGAGGACATCCTGCGGCAGCTCCTGGAGCACGGAGCAGAGCCCAACGTCCAGGCCAGGCTGCCCCAGTGGGCGGCCAACTCAGTGTCCTGTTCTGGACCCCTGTACCTGGCGGCCACCTACAGGCACCTGGAGTGCTTCAGACTGCTGCTCCTCCACGGGGCCGACCCTGACTACAACTGCACGGATCAGGGGGTGATCGCCCAGATCAAGGAGCCCAAGACCCTGCTGGAGACGTGCCTGAGGCACGGCTGCCATAGCAAGTTCATCAAGCTGCTCATTGACTTTGGAGCCAACGTGTACCTGCCCAACGTGCCCGTGGATGGGCCGGCACCACGCAGCGAGGGGCTGGAGCTGCTGCTGCAGGCCAGAGGTAACCTGGGGGTGGGCCCAGGGCTGGAAATAGGCACTAGGTTTGCTTGTTTAAGCTGCTGCTGATTCCTCTTCCCTTTATCTTTTGCTTTACCCAGGCTTTCCTTAAGCCTCAGCTCCCTTTGCAGCATCACTTGACTACTGCCCCATCCCTGGAAGTGTTCAAGGCTGAGCTGGACAGGGTTTGGAGCAACCTGGTCTAGTGGAATATGTGCAAGATGGGCTTTAAGGTCTCTTCCAGCTCAAGCCATTCCGTGATTCTATGATTCCCACAGCCTGGTATTTCCACTCCATTGTTGGATTAAAGGCTGCTTTTCACCATTCCTCTCCTCTCTGCTGCTCAACTTGGGCTCTCCTATACTACCTGTGTCAAGGAAAAATGCACTTATTTCCATATGAGGATGGAAGGTTTCCTCTCCATGCCCAGCTCCTGTGGAACTCGTGCTGCAAAGCTTGTGTCTGGGTCTGTGTCCCCAAACACAAGAGACCTGTGGTTTTCCTAGAATCATGGAATGCCTTGGGATGGAAGGTTTCCTCTCCATGCCCAGCTCCTGTGGAACTTGTGCTGCAAAGCTTGTGTCTGGGTCTGTGTCCCCAAACACAAGAGACCTTTGGTTTTCCTAGAATCATGGAATGCCTTGGGTTGGAAGGGACCTTAAAGACCATCTAGTCCAACCCCGTCTATTTTTGATCTGTCCATGTCCTTTTGCTGGGTTGGAAGGGAGCAGGGTCTTGGAGGTGACCATCTTGTTATTCCTGTCTCCTCACACAGCTCATCCCAAGTCCCTGCTGTCCCAGTCCCGACTGGCCATGAGGCGAATCCTGAAGCAGCCTGTCCACCTGTCCACCCTCAGAGAGCTGGAAATCCCCACAGTCCTGGCCAACTATCTGCAGCACCAGCCGTGACATACAGCCCGCCTCCAAGCACAGCCACTCTGACATCTGGGAGTGAAGCTCTGAAATCCGTGGAACCAACAGGAATTTGTGTCACAAAGTCATTCCCGTCTCCAAAATTGGTACCTGTGTGAAAGGTTGGGGAGGGAAGGGGCAGAGGAAACAGGACACCTCAGCTCCTGGTCTGCATCAGAGTGATGGTGGAGCAGGATCTGATTCCGTGGATCTGCCTCTAAACCTCCTTACCGAGGGATTTTTCACCTTGAGTTGATGTTGGTTGGAGAAGGGGTTGGGAAAAAGTGTGGAAGGCAGAGGGAGAGGAGCAAAGGCTGCTTTTCCCTCATCCCCTCCTGGGGGACACAACCAGGTCTGTGCCTGCAGGTTCCCCCACAATGTGGCACGTGCTGTCCCTGAACCCCCTTTCCCACGGTGGGCAGGCCCTGGCACAGCTTGCCCAGAGAAGCTGTGGCTGCCCCATCCCTGGAAGTGTCCAAGGCCAGGTTGGACGGGGCTTGGAGCAACCTGGGCTAGTGGGAGGTGTCCCTGCCCATGGCAGGGGGTGGAATGAGATGAGCTTTAAGGTCCCTTCCAACCCAATTCATTCCCTGATTCTGTGATTCCCAGAGGGGTTTCCAAGTGTACCCTCTGTTCAGCAGGGGCAGAAGCGGGGCTGGACCCAGCCATGTGTGCCCACCCTGGCTGGGAGGGGTAGCCAGAGTCCCAAAACCCCGACTTATCTCTGACCTCAAACATCATCTTCCTCACCCCAAAAGTGGTTCTTGTTGTAGCTGAGGGTCTTCTGTGACTGGGTTTTAATTAAAAATGTTGCTACTGTTGCTATTAAACTCTTGTGACCCATTTGGGGGCATATCCCATATTTGGAAGAGCCCAGCAGACCAGCTGGCACCACTGAAGAGATGCAGGGAATTGCTGTGCCTGGGGAATTTCAGGATGAGCCTGGAGTGATGCATCCCGGCACCACCTCCATGACTCTCCATCTCTCAAGCCTTAGACATTGGGATCATCCTCACTGGTGGAGGTGCCTTTCTGACTCTTCCCACAGCCAGGAGCTGACAGATAAACCCCAGTGCTGGTGATGCTCTGGAGCAGTTTTGGGATGCAGCAGAATGTGTTCCTGAGGGTTTATTCCATCCTGCCCTAACGGCATCCCAAAGGGAAGCACTGCCAGGCAGAGGTACGGGGTTGGAGCTCCATGTCAGGAGCTCCAAAGATCACTCTTGGCCAAACACAGGACTCCTGCAGGATTTATGGGCTTGTTTCAAGGGTCCTGGGATCTATTTATCAGCATCTATTAATTAGGCTGTGAGGCCTCTCCGAAGGGGAGAATTAGGGCTTGGATATAGCTGGACAAAGCATTGGGAATTGCTCCATAGGGGAACATAATGCTCATGGCATTTCCCTCCCCATCCAGACACTGTGATGGTGATCCAATGGGAGATGGGGGGTGGGAGAGGGGACATTGTCATGCTCCAGGGAGGATTTCCACCCGTGGGAGGGGAGAGAGTGTCTCTTCTACTCAAGGGGCCCATGTGTCACTCCCACATGGGGATCTGAGGGGGCTTTGGAATTTGGGGGGTCCCCAAAAGGAGGAGGAGTTTTCAGTGCCAGGCTGCTCAGTGCGGCGTGAGATAGGGGGGAGCCAGGTATGTGAGAGGTGGGGGTGAGCCGGGGGGTGACTGGGGGGTCAGCTGGGCGTGCAAGGGGTGTGATGGGTGGTGGGAGCTGGAAGTGGGCCACGTGGGGTTGAGCTGGGGGAGTGATGTGGGGTGGGTGCTGGGGGTGCAATGGTGGGTGCTGTGTGTGAAAACAGGTGGGTGGAAGCAGGGTGGGAGCGATGTGTGGGCTGGGGGTGCAATGGGTGAGTGGAGCTGGGGGTGCAAGGGGTGCACGGGAGTCAGATGTGCAATGGGTGGGTGCTGGGGGTGTGAGAGGGGTGTGAGCTGGGGGGGGGACGGGTGGCGTGAGCTGGGAATGCAGTGGTCGGTGTGAGCCGGGGTGTGACCCAGGTGTGTGATGGGTGTGTGGGTGTGAGCTGGGGGTGCGACACAAGTGTGTGATGGGTGGATAGGTGTGAGCCGGGGGTGCGACACAAGTGTGTGATGGGTGGATAGGTGTGAGCCGGGTGTGCGGGTGTGCGGTGGCCCGCAGGTGACACCCACGTGAGTGGCAGCAGCGCAGGCAGGGGGGTGTCCCGGCGCCACGCGCACACGCCACCGTCCCCCTAGAGTCACACCCTGTCACATCCGGCAGTGCCACCTGCCGCCGTGTCCGCGTGTCCGGGACCGGCGCGTCCCTCTATCACCCACCGCCCCGCGGCCACGCCCCCACAAGGAGACCACGCCCCTCGGCGCAGAGGACGCCGAGCTCCGCCTAACGAGGCCACGCCCCCGCCACCGCCCAGACCTACGCGAGAGTGACGTCACGCCCCATAACTGATATCCCACCGTGCAGACCACGCCCCCGAGCCCACGCCCCATAACTACGAGTCCACGGCGACGGCCACGCCCCCTGCGTCGAGACCACGCCCATTTCACAGTGATTTCACTGTGGAGGCCCCGCCCCGCCTGAGACCACGCCCCCTTGTCACTCTAGCCAACGGCAGAGGCCCCGCCCCCGCCCTGTGAGGAAGCTCCGCCCCGCCCGTGGCTCCGCCCTTGTCGTCACGCGGTACCGCCCCTGCCGCCCGAACCGGGCGGACCCGCGGCCCCTCAGCGGCCTCAGGGCTGGGCCGGGGTCCGGCGGGTCCCGAGAGCGTCCCTGGGGGCCCCGGGGGGTCCACGCACCCCCCGCCGGTAAGTGCTGCGGGAGGATGGGGAGGGTCTGTCGGCGGGCCTGGCGCCGCCCGTGCCCGCGCCTGCGGTGCCTCTTCCCCGCGGCCGGGCCCGACCGCCCCTCGCTTTCTCCTGGATCCTCCCGAAAGTTTGGGAGCGCGGCGGGGGGAGCGGGGAGGGCCGGGCTGAGGGGGCCTCCCCCCGCGGGGCTGGGTGGGCCGGGGGTCCTACGGGGTCCCCACCGCTGCGGTTCATTGTTGCGGTGCTTTTTTTTGTTGTTGGTTTTAAACCCTGGTTTTCGCGGTTTATTAATCGGGGCTCTTTGCCCTCGGTGCCTTTCATTTTTCTTTATTTTCATTTTTATTATTTTCATCTTTTTATTCTTCTCCAACACCGCCTTCCCCCCTCGTGCCCGCAGCCTGTGCTGACGTGGAGCCGGGGAGAAATGATTCCCAAATGGAATTTTTGAAATCTTGGCTCTGTTTCATCCCCCCCATTGCTATTTTTTCAAGGAGCCCCTGTCCAGGTACAGGTGTGGGGTCATTCCACCCCCCAGTTTTCCAGCAGCCCTGCACAGGTACCAGGTGTGGGGGTCCCTTCCAGGCCCAGCGATGCTCCAGAGGCTTTGGAGGCATCTGGGACTCTGGGAAGGCTCTGGCAGAGCTGGAAAAGCCCATTTTGCCAATGGGAACGCGGCCCCAGATGCACCCTAGCTGCTGCTTCCAGAGGGACAGGTGAATGTGAGAGGTTACCATCAATCCCCGAATTCCAGAGTCATGGAATGGTTTGGGTTGGGAGGTACCTTAAAGCCCATCCAGTTCCAACCCCTACGGTGGGCAGTGATGTCAAATTGTAGAGGCAAAGCAACCCAGACCTGAGGGAAAAAAAATAACCCTGAGATGGCAGGTTTTCTGTGGGGTTGCAGGAGCAGAGGCCTTTTGGATGTATTTTTAATTTGGGATCTCTGGCTAAACACCATGAGGAGCTTCCCTAGCCTCACACTGGTCAGAGCTCAGCCTCAGGCATTACAGCTTGGCAGTGCATTAGGGTTTTATTGCATTTAATTTCTCCACCCTCATCTCTGCAAAAGAAACATGATTGTAATTGTTTTATTTCTCCCGTTTCTGACAGCGATCGAGGGTCAGATTTCCAACCTACCTCTCTTCTTCCGGGATAATCTGATCAGGGGGTTCACAGTGGGTGTTTTTAATGCGATTCTCCGTCGCTGGACAGATTATTTAAAAAAAACCAGAAATCTTCTATTAAGAAAAGCCAGCATAGTAACCCAAGTGGGTTTTTTTGCTGGACACGTGTGTAGTGTGAGGGCTGTGTCCTGGTTTGGCCTCCTTCAGGATGCTTGGCACGGGGTGTGGGGGGGTGGGAAGTGGGGGTTGGCAGGTGCCAGCCCTTCTCCCTGCTGGAGCAGCCTCTGTTTCCTCACTCAGAGGTGGCTGGTGGCCGAATCTGATCTCCCTGGAGGCAGAAATATCTTGGAAGCTGAAGGGGTTGGAGCGAGCTGGCTTGGAGGTCGGACCTGCCTGTCCCCAGGGACATTGCCCGGTAGGGACTTGCCTTGTGATTTGCCTGCTCTGGCAAACTGGTAAATTTAAGCATCGCTGCATTTTGGTGGCTGGATTCTGGGAGTGGAGGGAGCTCAGAGGCTCCTGCAGCTCCATTTCCAGCTGGTGATGTAGCCCTTCTCCCTGTGACACCTCTGGCTCTGCACCTTCCCCTCACCTCTCTCCCCTTTCCCTCTGTCCTAGGTCAGCTGTGATGAGCCCATCCCTGCTCCAGGAGGGCTCTGCTCCCGAAGCTGCCCTTCCCAGCTAGATCCCAACCCTGCTGCCATGGAGATGGGCAGCCTGGAGGAGCGGGCCTGCGGTGACCAGCGGCGGGAGGAGGGCGGGGATGCGTCTCCCGAGGGTGCCAATAACTCCGGGGAGCCGCAGCCTCCGCCACCCGGGAAGCTGCGGAAAACAGCCTTCAAGCTGTTCGGGGGCAAGAGGAGCATCTGCACCCTGCCTAGCTTCTTCGGTGGCCGGGGCAAGGGCCAGGGCAAGAAGGGGCTCAGCAAGTGCAAGACCCATGACGGGCTGAGCAGTGCCACGTCTGACAGGGCCCAGCCCGACAGCCCCTTGGATGTGCATCCTGGCCCCCTGCCGTGCTCCCGAAGCGCTCAGCTGCCCAGGGACACCGGAGCCAGGGGGGACTTGGGCCAGCAGGACAACTCTCCCCCTGGGAGCATCGAGGGCTGTGACAAAAAGCCCAATGGGGACAAGTCCTCCTTTCCCAGGCCCAAAAAAGGCCTGAAGGGGTTTTTTAACAGCATCCGGCGGCACCGGAAGAGCAAGGCTGCAGAGGGTGAGAGGGCAGAGCTTCCCGAGTGGAACAGGGACCTCGAGGAACCCAGCAGTGCCCCAGGGGTGGCAGTGGAGAGCCGGGGGGCCGCAGAGAGCAGGGGGGCAGGGCCAGTCCCTGTGCCCACAGCCTGCCCGGGGGATGAGCCTGGCTGTGGGGAGGCCCCTGAGCCCTCCTGCCCTGTGGCTGAAGGGGGCAACTCCAAGGGCGATGCAGTGGTGGTGGTACCAGGAGATGGGGATGCTCCAGATACGAAATTGGAGGCTGACACTGCCACCTGCGCTGAGTTTGACCGTGACAGTCTGCTGCTGGCCTTCCACCCAGACCTCATGGACAGCGAGCCTCCCTGCCTGCACTCCGGGGACCTGCTGAACCTCATCCTGGGAGACGTCACCTCCCTGAAGAGCTTCGACTCCCTGACAGGCTGCGGGGACGACATCGCCGAGCCTGACATTGCCGAGAGCAGCATCTCGGTGGAGCGCAGCAGGGAGGCTGCCAAGCGCAGCTCCTGCCTGGTCACCTACCAGGGTGGCGGGGAGGAGATGGCCATTCCTGAGGAGGCCGAGGAGTACTTGCACCAGGTGTGGGATGGCAGCATGCGAGGGGACAGGAGCTACGGGGCCCAGGTGTCCCGCAGCAGCCTGGAGACACACACCTCACACGAGGGGGATGCCCACCCCTACATGGGCGACCCCATGGACGGTGTCGATCTCCTGACACCCCAGAGCGACCAGCAAGAGTCTGCCCCAAACAGTGACGAGGGTTATTATGACTCCACGACGCCAGGGCTGGAGGATGAGGCTGGAGAGGAGCTCAAGAAGGACCGTCTGCCCCGGGACAGCTACAGCGGCGATGCACTTTATGAGTTTGATGCGCTGATGAGCCCTTCTCATGGGGAGGAATCGCTGTTTGAGGGCAAAGGCCCCCGCCCAGGCATCTTCAGCTACTTCATGGACTTCTGCCTCCCTGCGGAGAAGAGCCTGATCCAGCAGATGATGGATCAGAAAAGAGGGGTGATGGAAACAGAAGAGGAAGGTCTTGCGGCCCTTCAGAAGGAGCTGCTGTACTGGGAGCTGCAGAGGGAGCCGGTCCTGAAACGCCTGGATGTTTCCAGCAAGGAGGAGCATCCCCGGGAAAAGCAGTGCATTGAATGTAAAACTCGAGCAGCCAGCTCCAGTGGCAAGAGTCAGAGTGGCCTTGGCGGTGAGCAGGTGGCCTCACACGCCCCGAACTGGGCTGTGAATGGTGGGGTTCCGGTGGCTAGAGCTGAAAATCCAGAGTGGAGGGATTTTCCAGGGACTCTGTGTCCAGAAAACTGTTACAACAGCCAAAAAGCCCCAGGAAGTTGCCTTATTCAGCTCACGAAGAACACCCTGGGGTTCGATTCGGACCCGGATTGTGGGTTGTTTGGGGACTCCATCCCAGCCAAGGCAGGGATGTTCCCTGACTACAGAGTGCAGCCCACTCCCGGTGAGCCCCAGGTGGGCAGCGAGCCTGAGCACGCCGTGAGCTTCTCCCAGGCGCTGGTGGAGTTTGCCAGCAGCGGAACCCTCTTCTCCAGCCTCTCTGAAAGCCTGGGGAGCTCGGCCTCCAGCTCCTCTTTCACCCAGAACCTCCCCGCCCTCCCCACCATGGTCACCTTTGATGTGGTGGACGTGGAGCAGGAGGGGGAAGGGGAGTGTGAGCAGCACCCAGAGCTGAGCGAGGACATTGCCGAGGCCTTTGACGACGGCTACGGACAGAAGGAGTCGTTGGCTGAATGTGACGAGAGAATGTCCCCGGGGTTCTCCCTGGGCTCCTTCCAGAGCTGCAACTGGGGGGTGGCCAGCTTGCCCCGCCACCTGCGCCTCCACGGGCTCAGCCCCTCCATGCCGGCACCGCTCTCCATGGACCGGCGGAGCCGCTCCCTGGACACAGAGAGCCTGGAGTTCGAGCTGGCCGAGCCACAGGCTGCCCGGAGTGGCCCGCAGCCCTGCCGGCTCTGGGCCCGGCAGGAGGGCAGCAGGAAGGACTCGGGCGGAGCACGGAGGAGCAGGAGCAAGGAGGAGGGCGAGCCGGCGGCCCTGGAGGGCGGGCTGAGCTGGCCAGGCCTGCAGCACCTGCAGCGCAGCAGTGACGGCGGTGGGATGGAGCTCTGGGGCTTCGCTCCGGTCGGCGCCGTGGAGAGCGTGTGGGACCCGTCCGAGGAGCCGGGCACCGTGTCCCCTTTCCCGCCTCTCTCTGGGGAGGCTCTGGACAGGCGGCCCCAAGAGCCAGAGCTGCCCCGGCATGCGCTCCGCCCCTCCAACCTACCCCTGCAGCCCGAGGCGCGGTGGGCGCGGGAGGCAGCGGCGTCCTACAGGTACCATGGAGAGGTCCCCAGGCTGTCCTGCCTGGTACCCCTGGGAGAAACGGAGCTGCCCCCGAGCTTTGGCTTTGCCTGCTCCCCAGAGAAGCGCTCCAAGGGCAAGCCCGTGGGCATCGCCCAGGGCATGCCTCAGCATCCTGGCAGGAATGCCGGCCCTGCAGAGAGCCCAGAGCGCTGCGTGGAGCCCCTGAAGGGCAGGGGCACCCCCGGGCACTGCCGCGGCACCACCCTCGATGTCACCGACGCAGAGTAGCTGCGGGAATGTCACCCGTCACCGAGGGGCTGCCCCAGGCAGGGTGGAAGTGGTGCAGGGCAGGGAGGGCGAGGCTGTGAGCGATCGGGGTAGGGGTGACTAATGGGAGCTGGGCCTTGCCCTGCGGGTGCTCTAGTGGGGATCAGAGGTGCCTCGGCGTTCCTGTGTCAACACTGAGGCACTTTCTGGTTTTCCAGCCCTTTCCGATGCCAAGTGCAGCAGCAGCCCCTGGCACTGCTGCCAGGACAGAAGCTGGGAATGGACCTGTTGCCAGAGTGGCAGGTTCGGGGTCTGGGCAGGATTGGAGCTGGGGGAACAAGCCTTGGGGACACTTTTGAGAGAAATGGGATTTCTTTTCCCCTTCTCGGTGAAATGTTTTGATTCAAACTCACTTTGAATGTCTTCCATCTTGGTGTTGATTGTGGAGCTGGGGCGAAGGATGCTGGTTGTTCCCAGGGGATGAGTCTGCTGGAAGGGGAACTTTGCAGCAACATTTTTATTTATTACTTTTTTTTCCTTGCCCCAAAGGAAAGCAGGAGCTTTTGTGTGCGTGCTGATAATGCTCTCCAGGTCCAGTTTCAATTTGCCTGGAGAGATGTGCTGTTTGTGGTGTCCCTTTCAAGAACAAAGTGTCAGTTCCTTCTTTGTTGTGGTCTGTCTTCCCAGAGTGTAATTCCTGGTGGAAACCTTTCCTGTGCTTTGTCCCAGCTCCTCGTCTCTCCAGGACCATGGGCACATGGATGAGGTCTTTGAAATAAGCTAAATTTGCATCATGCCTGTAGCTGTGAAGTGGCAGATGCTGTTACTTTCTCAAAAGGAAGTTTTGTGGCTTTTTAATTTAATTTTGTTATTTTATGGTTGTTTTCTTTGCATAAACTCACAGGAGGGAAGTTTCGTGTTTGTTGGAATGCCTAAATTGGGCTTCATGGCCTCTTCCTCTGGCTGGAGGGAACAAAAAAGCTGGAGGTTGCTGCAGGTTTGGGATTTTTCTCCTCCTCTTTGAAGGAACATGGAGGAGGGACACAAGCTGAGGGGTCAGACTTTGCCTGGGGGATCATAATGAGCTCCCGTGACATCTGTTTCAGACCGTTGGTCCTTGGGGCTTCTCCCCTGTCCTCATGATCCCAAACAGCCTTTTCTCTGATCCAGACCTCCCTGTCCATGACACAAAGCTGCCTCCTCCTCCTCCTTCGCAAGTTCTGTGTTCTGATTTTAATTCTCTTTCCACTGGTTTTTGTTCCCCCACCCCTTGTTGCCCCTTTCCTGCTTTTCTTTCCAGCAGAATCTGTAGCATTTAAAAAAATAATCCCAAGCTGGAAATACCAGAGTTTTTCCCCATTTGTGGAGCAAGGGATGGCTCTGCCCAACCCAAATTCCCTTTTCCTGCTGTGCTGGGTCCCCCTCCTGCTGCTCTCGCCTCCACATGGATGTGGCTCCAGGGGCTCCAGCAGCAGCTCTTTGGCATCACTGTGTTTTCCAGCACAAGGAGCTGCTTTCGGTTTGGTATTTTTTTTTCCCCCAGAGCAAAATCATATTTCGTTTTGAGAAGAGATTCTTTCTGCCTTGTCCTTGAATATCTGGGAAGGAGCAGGGAAAAGCAAAGCCAGGCTGGGTGTGATTTTATTTCCCTGCCCAGACCGCTGAGGTGGCACAGACCTATCTGTGCATCCATGGGCTTAAACCTTAATTTTTCCTGCGGCAGGGAGTTCCTGCAGGAGCCCATCATGCCATGGGTCTTTTCTCCCATCCCTCTGTGACACCAGAGAGGATTTCCTGGGAGAAACCTGGCTCTTGGTGCCGCTCCTGAAGAGGAGAATGTGGTCAGCCAGTGGAAGGTCCCCTCGCTCCAAGGTTGTGTCTCCTCTTGTTAGTGCTGCATGTGAACAGCTGCTAATGAGTATTGGAATGTTGGAACATTGGAATATTCCTCACTGGGGCAGGCTCCCCTTGCTGGGAGCCAGGTCAGGGCCAGGTCTCAGCCCTGCCCATCTCACCACCATCCCCAGACCACAAACCACGGGGGCATGGCAGACATTGCCACACACCCTCACGGCCCTTTACTGGGTTTAACTCCTGTTTTCCTTTGTTTTAGCGTCTCACCAAAGGCATCTCGTGGGTTCTGGGGCTTGTAGTTTTTGTTCAGCTGTGGTGCAGCCTTTGCCAAAGTCCTGCTGGGGGTTGGAAGTGTCTCGGTGCTACAATGAATGTTCTGTCGCCAAGGTGTCTCTAGGAATAATGTTTTCAGTTGTAGGTACGTGCTGGGGAGGTTTAGGGGGAGCAATACAGCCAAGGCTTGATAATCTGACTTTATACCAAAGGTTTCTCCTCTTAATTCAATGGGAATTACATGAAACAAATATCTGCTGAATTACAACAAGTTTTCTAAACATTAATTTGCTGGACTAGCGGTGGATTCTGCCCCGTTAACCCAAAGAAATAAGGATTTTCAATGCAGTAACTCAGCCTGTAAATGATCACTGCAGTAGGTATTGGATTTCACTGCCTCTTCCCAAAACACCCTGGGATACGTAGGAAAAAATCTGGGCTGGATCTGGATCAGTCCAACACTGCCTTACCCGAGGAGCTCAAATTTGGGAGTGCTCATTGAGGTTTTTCATGCAAAAGGGCTTCCTAACCACAAATCAGTCTTAAAAGTCAGGAATAGCAGATTGTCTTGCCAAGATATTAAGGAAAAACTCGAGGAATTTGTCCCTTCCAGGGAAAAGTGATAAGTTAGGGCTGTGCCTAAAGTGATAAATTGGGGCTGTGAACTTGTGATGAAACCACTGCCATTGGGGTCAGCCTACCAAGTGATTCTGTATTGCATTTTGGGGACTTTGGGGTTTTATTTGGTTTGTTTGTTTTTATATACCTAAGAAAAATGTCGATTTTTCTCTATTTTTGTATAGTTTTGCATTTTATAATCATGGGAAAGATTTTACAGACTGTTCTTTTACTCGTGTTTGTCGTCGTTCCAAGTGGTGTGGTTTGCCCTTCCCGTGGAGAAAAGGCAATTCCTGCTGCTGCCGTGCCCATGCCCTGCCAGGAACCCTCCTGTGCTCCTCCAGGAATGTGCTGAGCCACTTCCCAGCTGGAATAACTCTAGCCCCTTGCAGCACACACACACTTTGCACACCCCACTTAGACGTCTCTAATCCTGCTCTGTCACACTTGTCCAACTGTTCTTTCATTTCTTCTAAGTGTTGTTTTTAACCTGAATTTGTGGATTTTGGTGATTTCTCCCTCCAGGTGCTGTTGACCATCTCTAAAGTAGAAGCCCACGGGTGTCAGTTGGGGCTTTCCCTGCTGTCTCCTTACATTGTTTTATCCAAATTTGGGGCTTTTTTTAAATCCCCAGGCATGCCGTTGGTTGGTGCTTGGCAGTGCTCTTTAACAGATTCCCTCTCTCTTTGGTGCTTCCTGTTTGGGCTGGGAGCTGGAATTTCACCCTCATGCAGGCAGCAACACCTGCTCCAGGCCTATGGATTGCTCCTTAAATAATCCTGGATTAGCAGGGCTGGCCACCTTCTCCTCCTTTCTCCTGGCTGGGAGCTCCAGCCCAGTGCCACCTGCATTGCCAACACCACTAAAGCATCTTCCTGCAGTGATACTGCCTTGGCTTTTGGGATCAGAAGAGAGGAGAGCTTTTGGAAAGCTAAAACCCAGCCAAAATCAGATTTTTTTCCCCCAGCAGAGATGTCAATTGCTGCTGATTTGGCTCTTTAAAAGTTTTTGTTCATCGGGTTTGCCCCATTCCCAGCACAAGTTGCTCAGCAAACATTCCCGGGCCTCAGACCCACCTTGCCTTCCATATTCCCTCTGTCCTGGAATTTTGGGCTCCCTCCTCTCCAGCTGGGGCCTCCTGCTCTTCTCATCCCTATTGAGTCACACTAAAGCTCCCCTTGGGTGAAGTGAAAAATTCAAATCTTAGAAAAGCCTCTCTGCTCTAAAGAAAAAAAAGGAATTGACCCTTGTCCTTAGCTGCCCCATCCCACTGCCGGGCTGGTGGCTCCTCCCAGGCGACCAACCTGTCTGAATTTTGGGGTTGTTTTTGTTTTCTTTCTGGTCTCATTGCTACTAGTCCTTTCAAGTTTTTAATGTATTGATTGTGTTTTAAAATGAATGTTCCTTTCACTGAATTCTAATGAATAAACTTCAGATTTTTAGAGAATGTTGGATTTCTCTTGTGGTTTACTTTTTTTTCCTGCTTATTTTATGCTTGATTTAATCTTTTTCTTTCCCTCTCCTCTCCTGTGTGTTGATTATTTGCCAGCGAGGTGGATTTTTCCATGGGAGAAGGTAGCAGAGATGCTTTGGAGCAGGGCATGGCTGGTCCATAACACACAGTCCTCAAACCCTGTGCCATTAAAGGATGGAAATTATGGAAAATATCCATCGTTTAAGGCTCCAGCCCCCAGAGTCAGATTTTTTTCCCTCCTCATTTCTCATCCTCTGCTGTCACTAGACCTGGCTCCGAGGTAACTCCCCCCGTCTTACCTGGTACAGCAGAGAAGGGGCTGGAGGGGTGGTTTTAATGGTTTTTTATTGTGCAGTGACCATTTCTAAGGGAATTTATCAGCATAATTATTTAGCAGCATTAAGTTCTGTTGCTCTGGGAGTGCCTCCAGGCTGTCTCTCCTGTATCCCTGGATCCTGCTCTCCCTGGGGCAAAGGCACTGCTGAGAACTGCAACTTCCCTGACAAACAGCTCCTCCCTCCCATGGGCTTTAGGGAACAGCCCCTCAGTGTCCCTGGGGCTGCTGAGGTGCTCCCCGGTGTGGTGGGGTTGGGGGCCACGGAGGAATTGAGAGATGAGGGAGGGATGAGGCATCTGCTCTTCCCTCTGCTCCGGCGCTGTTCAATGGAAACCCCTCTTCCTGCATTGCTCCTGTTCCACCCTCCTCCTCCATGCCCAGCCCAGGGGAATCCATGGCTGGATTTTGGGAGGAAAGCTGCCCTGGCAGTGGTGGGTATTGTGTAAGGGTGAGGCAGTGTGCTGGTTTAAAGGTAAACCAGCAGGGGAAATGAACTCAAAAGAGAGATTATAAGTCAGAATAACAATTTAATAAAATAATACAATAAGTACGATTATACAGACAAACAATTGGTTTTAACCCACAAAACCCAAATGTATAACCCAGCACCCTGGGGAATGAACAGAGTGGTGTTCTTTGGCCCCCCTGAGTCCAAAGGAAAAGGAGAGGGGAAAAACCTGTTGGTGAGAGTGCTGTTGCAGTCTGGTCAAGAGTGGTGATTGCAGTCCGGTCGAGAGTGATGGTTGCAGTCTGGTTGAAAAGTGGTGGTCTGCAGTCCAGTTGAGAGTGGTGGTCTGCAGTCTTCCTCTGGATCCCATGAGTGGTTAAAAAAGTTCCAAGACTCCAAGATTATATATTCTCCAGTTCAGGCAGGAATGCCCAGCACTTCCCTCAGGGTGGGGAGCTCCACAAAGAGTGTGAGGACAAGAGCATCCTTCTGTCTCGCAGGCCTCTTAACACCCAGTTTATAGCCTGAGGAGTCAAGCTCTATGGGCAGATGGTGTAAATGGTTCATTGATAACAATTTCTGGGAAATGGCATGGAAGGCTATAGAATACACAGTTTTGGGTTACACCCATACAATGATGAACTGGTCCCAGCTGTTCTAACTAGGACAGGCAGGCACTGGGATCATCCTTCCCAGCCTTCCCACTCTGGGCACCACCTGTGAGCCAGGCAGGAACTTGGATCTTGCCCTGTGTGTTCCTTGGGTACCTCCCAGAGTTTCAAAATGCCCAGGAGAATCCTGCTCTCCTCAGGCAGCAATTGAATTTGTAACACTCTGTAATTATGTGTGGAGCCTGATGAGCTGCTCCATTAATGAGTCTAGAGTGAGCCATGGGCACCCTGGGGAGGCTTTGTCTTTTCCATCTCCATCCATTGGAGATTCCTGGCTATCCATCATGCTAGAGGGAAGGGCAAACCTCTGACTTGGTGTTTATGAGCAGCCAGGGGTGTGTGTTGCCTCTCCTACTCCTCATGCTGCTCTTTCACTGTCCCAAACCTCCTTAGGCAGGAGCATCCTCTCTGAAAATGGGGAGTTTTCATTTAACACTCGGCTCAGAGCTCCCTCTCTGCTGTCCCTGCCTTCCCCAATGTTGCATCGTGGAGAACTTTCCCGTTCCAAGCCTGAATCCATCAGTATTTAATTCTTAGAATCAAACAGGCTCCATCAGAGCCGCTGGTTTTGCTCCTGGACCACCAGATGTGGCTGTTGGAAAAGCCACCCCGTGCCTTTAGATGCTCTCTAGGGACATAAAGAGCTTTTTCAACAGCCCAGTGCAAATATCCTCCTGCTGAGGCCCTGCAAGGGGGCCTCAGGGCTGCCCCACACCCAGGTCTCCCCCTGTGCATGCACTGCTTTTAAAATATTTTCCAATATTTATTTCTTTATATTGTTTTCCTGGGCATTCAGCAGGGAATACCCCCGCTATCCCACTGGAATAGGGAAATCCCACTGGAAAGGCTTTCCCCAGGTTGGAAGGAGCTGGGATGCAGCCTCCAGCAACACAGGAAACCCTGGTGTGGTGGGGATAAGGCTGTGGGTGCCCCTCTGGGGTTAAACAAGAGCCTTTTGGCTGCTTCACCCCAGGAGGTTTGACTCTGTCACCCATGAGGATGGTGCTGGTCACAGCTTTGGGGGGCTTTGCCCAAAAGAGGGGCTGGGGGAGGAGGTGAGCAGGGGTTGAGCGGAGGATTTGGGCAGCTCCATCCCTGCTCTGTCCCCAGCAGCCATCCCATGGGACCCACTCCTGTGACCTCCCCTCTGTGGTGACACCAAGGGACAAAGACAGAGCTGAGGCCACCTCTGGCAACAAGCAGAGGGACCAGCACGGGAGGAGAGGCCACCAGCCCAGTGCTCCTCTTGGGAGAAGCTCCTGATCATCCCTAATTGAATTTAGTGAGGAAAAAAACACCCCAGGCAGGGCAGGGACAGAGGGCAGGCTCTGGCAGCCCCTGATGGATGAGCTCCCATTGTTTTCCTTCATTTTAAGCACCAGAAGGCAATCAGCTGGGAAAAATGGGATGTGGGGCTGGGTCAGTGCTGCCAAGGGTGGAAACTTCAGCCAGACAGGACAAAAAGGGCTGTGGAAAGGCTGGGCAGGGGGAAGGGTTGTGCCTGGTGGTGCCTGGGTCATGAGCTCAAAATTCAGTCTTCAAACTCTCCCTCTTGGAGGAGAGAATAACCCCCTTGGGCTGTTATTCCAAGCATCCTTCCTGCATCCTGCAGCTTCTTGGTTTGAACTACATTCCCCAAAGCACTGGGATTACCTTCCACGTCCCAGTTTTGAGATCTGAGGCTGATAAAGCTGCCATGGCATTTTCTCTTCAGGGTGATGGCAAATCTGGGTGTCCCTGGCAGGGACTGGGGTTATCCAGGGGATTTTGGCAATGCTCATGACTGTGGGTGTTTACTACCTCGTCGTCAGTGGTGCCTTTAGCATATTCCCCTTGGCTTCAGCCCTAAAGTGGCAGCTCCTGATGGATACAGGTGACCATGTTCCAGAAGGGATGCTGGAAGCAGGAGATTGGCCAAGAGATGCTACAGAAGATGGATTTCCCCTTGTCCCTGTGTTGCTTTCTCCTTCTCCCTGCACCTGTGGCAGGAGAAGTGTTGAGCAATGGCAGGGGAGCGCTGATGATGATAACGGGATGAGTGCTTGGGATGACCCATCCCACTGGGAATGCTTCAAACCTTCAGCTTTAATTGCCTCCTAGTAAACACAAATCGACTCATTTGCTGTGAACAAGTTCCCACTGAAAAAAACACGCTGGAAGTTGGTTGTCAGCATGGAAATGTATTTCACACTTTGAAGTGTTTCTTTTTTCCCCCCTTTTTTCTCCTAAGTAATTTGAGAAGCACTGACACAACAACTTCACTCCATGAAGGAACATGGAGTGTGTGAGACTGGCAGGTTCCTCATGACTCCTGTTTTCCAGAGGCTGGAGAGAAATGGGTCTGGGTGGGGCTGAGTGTGGCTCTGGTGTCACCTACAAGACACTTGGAGGGGCTGGAGCGTGTCCAGGGAAGGGAACGGAGCTGGGGAAGGGGCTGGAGCAGCAGGAGCAGCTGAGGGAGTTGGGGGGGCTCAGCCTGGAGAAAAGGAAGCTCAGGAGGGACCTTCTGGCTCTGCAACTCCTTGACAGGAGGGGGGAGCCAGAGGGGGGTCGGGCTCTGCTGCCAGGGAACAAGGGACAGGAGAGGGAACGGCCTCAGGCTGTGCCAGAGGAGGTTTAGGTTGGATATTGGGGAAAAATTCCGTCATGGAAAGGGCTGCCCAGCCCTGTCACAGCTGCCCAGGGCAAGGGTGGAGTCCCCACTCCTGGAGGGATTTAACAGCTCTATGGATGTGGCACTTGGGGACATGGGTCAGTGGTGGCCTTGTGTAGTGGTTTGGACTTTGTTTTCCCCCAGAGGCTAAGGAAAGTGGTAGACCCCAAGGGGTGGAAACCCCTGGAAGTTTTGAAGTTTTGCCCAATGGGCGCTCCTGCAAAAATGTCAACATCCCACAAGCTCACCGGAAGAGATGAGTTGTAGTTTTGGTTGTTAGGAGTGGTGGCCATGTTGTAGAGCCACGAGGAAGGGGCTCAGAGCCCCACAGGTGGGGGCTTTGGCCCCCCAGCCCCCAGCGGGGGCCTGCGGGGACCTGGAACAGCATAAAGCTGAGCTAGGTGCCTGTAGTTATGCTGGGAGATGTTTTTCTCCATGGGCACAGAGCAGCAGCCGGCACTGACCAGAGAAACGGTGGCAGAGAGCCAGGACAGATAAGACCTGAACTGGAGGAGCAGCAGAAACAACATGCAGCACCACAGAGAAGACTCCTGGAAAGGGAGAGAGAGAGCCAGCAGCTGAGAGACAGAGTTCTGGGGGTAAGACTGATACCAGACCCCCCAAAACTCCTTTGAGATCCCTCTGAGAAAAGAGGGAGATGGACTCCTATTAAGGAGAAGAGTTTTAGACATGCAGCACTGGAGAGAGAGAGAGGAGCTAAGAAGCTGAAAAGACGTCCCGGAGCTGGACCGGGACGGCCAGATGGCATGCGGGGGGAGTTGACCTTGGCCCCCCTCGCTGCTGCTGACAAGCCTGGCAGCCTGAGACAGAGCACAGGAGCTCTGGTAGAACTCTTGAGGCAAA